CGATTGCAGTAGAAGTGGCAGGAGCTATGGTTATAATAACGACGAATTCCTCTGCTTTGGCCCAGATCGCCCTCATTCCAAATCTTATGATGATGGTAAATAAATATATCGGTACTTAGTGCTTTATAATTATTATTCTTGAAGTTTAAGAAGATTTATGGTGTCTTAGAACAAATAGTTAACCTTTGTACCTCTTTTCTTTCTTTATTTTTTCTTATATGCTCATTTTCTGTTATACATTTTTTTATATATATAAATAATTTATTTAAATGTGATTATTTGTACAAATGGTTTATTGTGTTTCATGATTATTGTTGCAGATATTATAAATGTTCGGCGAAAGCTTTTAATAGGTAATATACCCTTAAAATTAATTTTTTTTCTTCCATCTCTTCAGCCCAAAAACGTCGAAACAGGGTATCCTCACTCTGTTTTCATGCAGGGTTTGGCACAACGGGAATTACTATCATTGTCATGAGCCTTATTTTCATCATCTAGCATTTCCGGTACAAAAAGCGTTATGGTACTTCATCTTGGGTATCTAAAAAAAACTTCTTTGTATCGCTCTTCAATGAAAGATCTAGAAAAGGCAAGCACATACTTAAAAGTCCAAGGGCTTGTTTGGTTTGTATTTGAGAAACATGTTTTGAGATAAAAAGTATGGGAATTTATTTAGTTTGATTTTTTTTCAAAAGATGTTTTGAAAAATTATTTTAAGAGGGAGTTTTGGAAAAAGTGATTGATTTGATGTGTATGAGAGAGAGATTTGTTTGGAAAACTTGTAAATCAAACAAGTTTTGGAAAAAAAATTTAGAAAAATTTGTTTAGTTTGATTACTTTTAGAAACTTATTTATAAAAAAAATATTTCAAAATTTTTAAGAAACACAAACCAAACAAGGCCCAAGTTTTTAGCTACAGCAAACTCCAAAATGATGTCGTGTCATGTGCATAGCATTAGCATGGGTTAAATAGTGTATCTTATAAATAGAGAGGATAACTAACTTGGATATATTGAATTGAGTCTCTCTAAAATCTCTCTCTAAGTTCCTCTCTCTAGTTCTTGATTGACCATTTCATCATTTTGGTATCAGAGCTTCAGTTTATTGTTTCTAATTCATGTTCTAAATGCATGAATTGTGGGAAAGATACGTACCTGAAATTTGAAACCCTAATTACGAATCACAATCACGATCACAGTTGTGTGAGAAGCCATCATGAAGCAGTAGTGGAAATTTCGTTGAACTCAAGACATAGAATCGAAGCTCATGGTTCGTAAATCTATCTCAAATCGGGAATTGCAACTTGGGGTTGAATTGAAGTTGCGAGTTGTCCTTTGTGAATTCTGGGAGCTCGATTGAAGATTTACAGTTCTTTTATGATCAAGATTCGACTTGCGATTCTTTGAAGTTGGGCTTCTCATCCGAACTCGAGTCCAAGCCCTAGTCAAGATCCGAGTCACGGTCGCAAATCGACGTTGCTGTTCACATTCCGATTTCAGAATCACAAAACACATCGATCCAAAGTTTGTTGGATTTTCGCAATTGCGAATCTGGGTTTTGTTCTCTTGTGATGAAATCATACCTGGGCTGTCTTTGAAGTTGTTCTGGACTCGATTGACTGAAATCAACATGTGGGTAAGCGATTCTTGGAGTCTTTAATTCATCTGTGTTGAATTTCCTATGTTATATCAAGTCTCAAATTCTTTAAATCTGTGTGCATCAATTTGAGTTCAATTCTTGTCTTCAACATTTTAAATCTTGCCTCTGTTATAACATTATCTGTTCATTGTGCTGAGATTGTATATTGGTGCACTGTTTTATCAATATTCAACTGGGTGAGATTACTGTGTCTCTACATATTCTTGGAAATTATTTAATGGCTCAATGAGGTCGGGGTCATAGGGGTGGTCATGGTAGGGCTTATGTCCCAAATTTGGGTGATCATGATAGGGGTATTGGGATTCTGTATCCAAGAGATGAGATGGCCGAGATGAGACGACAAATTGCCGCGTTAACGTCTCCTACCTTCTACCGAGGGTAGTGATGGTTCCGATGAAACCGAAGGTGGTACTCATCATTCTTTTGATAATATCTTTTGGGCCCCACGACAGCGTCGAACGGATGTAGGTAGGATGGAATACAAATGGGAGAACAATATCAAGATTGAACTTTCCGAATTTCATGGAAGCCTCAATCTAGATGAGTTCTTCGATTGGCTCAACACCATTGAGCTGATCTTTGACTATGGAGAGGTCTTCATTGAAAAGAAAGTTAAGCTTGTGGCTATTCGGTTGAAGGGGAGAGCTTCCGCTTGGTGGGAACAACTTCAACTCAATCGTTGGCTATTCGGTTGAAGGGGAGAGCTTCCACTTGGTGGGAACAACTTCAACTCAATCGTTGCCAATGTGGAAAGGAGAAAATGAAAAAGAAGTTAAAGGGCCATTTTCTACCATTCAACTACCTCCAAAGTGTTTATCAACGTCTTCATGTTCTCAAGCAAGATGGTAGTGTGAATGAATACATGGAAGCCTTTTATCGCCTCATTGCACGGGTTGACTTAAGTGAAAGTGAGGAGCAATGGGTGTCTCGCTATGTGAGCGGCTTGAAATCTTCCATCCAAGATGTTCTTGCCTTGCACACATTATATAGTGTTTCCGAAGCTTATAATCGGGCCTTAGCCGTGGAGAAGCAACAAAGCCACCGTGCTTCCCCAATGGGGCAATACTTCCAAGGAGGGTTTTGAGGTGGTTTTAGGCCAGATCCTTCCACTCCTAGCTTTGCCAAAGCTACTCCTCCTTCCAAGTTTGTGGATAAGGGTGCTTCCTCCTCTCAAGCTGCTCGTCCTAATGGTGTTTTCGGAAACCAAAATCCACCACAAGGTGGAACCTTCAAATTCTTTAGGTGTGGTTTACCGAGGCATAGATCTTCCGATTACCGCAAGAACATGAGTAATAATCGGAACAAGGCACTTCTCATTGAAGAAGTTGAGGAGCATGGTGACTTTGAAGATGCTCCAATCTTTGATCCTTTGGGTAATGTGGCAATTGGTGGAGATAGTGATGAAGAAGAAGGTCTTGCTCTTAGATTGAAGAAGACTCTTCTCTCACCAAAACTAGAGAGCCAAGAAGATTGGTTGCGTACTAATATCTTTTATTCCACTTGCAACATTGGCGGGCGTGTTTGTAACATGATCATTGATAGTGGAAGTTGTGAGAACGTAGTTTCTCAAGAAGTGGTGGACAAACTCAATCTTCCGGTGGAGGAACATCCCCATCCTTATTTTCTGTCTTGGTTCAAGAAAGGCAATGAAAGGTTACCAAATGGTGCTTGGTTTCATTTTCTATCCGGCAAAAATACTTTGATGAGGCATGGTGTGATATAGTGCCTATGGATGCTTGCCAGATTCTACTTGGGCGACCTTGGCAAACGGAACACCTACACCGTTGTCAAGAATGATATCCGGTTTACCTTGCTTCCAATGAAAGAAAAGGTTACTTCCAAGGATGTTTCCAAATCATCTCCTAGTGCCACTACATTGCTTGCTTTCAAGGAGTTTGTGGAAGAGAGTCGGGATTTGGGATTGTATTGGTGTTGGTTCCGGTTGTACACATGGGTGCTTCTACACAAAAGGTTAAGGTGGCTACTCTTTTGGAAGAGTATTCTGATGTCTTTCCCCAAGAACTTCCTCCCAATTTGCCTCCTATGCTTGACATTCAACATCGTATTGATTTGGTACCCGGGTCTGTGCTTCTAAACAAACCGGCTTATCGCATGTCTCCAAAGGAGAAAGAAGAGTTGCAACGGCAAGTGGAAAAGCTTTTGACTAAAGGGTATATCCGGGCTAGCCTTAGCCCTTGTGGTGTTCCGGCGCGCTTTTGACACCTAAGAAGGATGGCTCTTGGCGTATGTATGTGGATAGCCGTGTAATCAACAAGATTGCAATCAAGTACCGCTTTCCAATTCCAAGATTGGATGATATGTTAGATTGCCTTGACGGATCAAAGGTGTTTTCTAAGATTGATCTTAGAAGCGAGTATCATCAAATCCGCATCAAGCCCGATGATGAGTGGAAAACGGCCTTTAAAACACCTTATGGCCTATTTGAGTGGCTTGTGATGCCATTTGGGCTTACCAATGCTCCGAGTACTTTTATAAGAGTGATGACACAAATGTTGCAACCATTTTTGGGAGTGTGTGTCGTGGTCTACTTTGATGATATCTTGATATATAGTCGAAGTTTGGAAGAGCATTTGTGCCACCTTCGGCAAGTCTTTGAGCTTTTGAGGCGAGACAAGTTCTATGGCAACACTAAGAAGTGCACCTTTGTCGTGGACCAAGTCATCTTCTTGGGATATGTTGTGTCTTCTCGTGGGGTGCTTATGGATGTGGAGAAGATCAAAACAATTGTGAACTGGCCCACTCCTTCTAGTATCCAAGAAGTATGGAATTTTCATGGTTTGGCTACTTTCTATAGGCGATTTATCCGCAACTTTAGTAGTATCGCTGCCCCTTTGACCAACATTCTCAAGCTTCAAGCTTTTGAGTGGAGCAAGGAAGTCGCCGATAACTTTCATCTTTTGAAGAAGTTGCTTACCGAGGCTCCAATTTTGGCATTACCGGATTTTGACAAGACCTTTGAACTTGATTGTGATGCATTGGGATTGGGTATTGGAGGCGTTCTTAGCCAAGAAGGGCGGCCCATTGCTTTCTTCAGTGAAAAGTTAAATGGGGCTAAACTCAAGTATTCCACTTATGACTTGGAATTTTATGCCATTATCCAAGCCATCAAGCATTAGAGCTACTATCTTGCATACAAAGAGTTTGTGCTCAACGCCGATCATGAAGCTCTCAAGTACATCAACAGTCAATCCCATCTTAACAAGCGCTATGCCAAATGGGTGGCCTACTTTCAACAATTCACATTCTCTTTGCGCCACAAATCGGGGGTTCTTAATAAGGTGGCCGATGGGTTGAGTAGGCAAACGGCTCTCTTAATTGAAATGAAAAATGAAGTTGTGAGTTTTGATGAATCCCGCACATTCTATGCAAATGATCCTTACTTTTCCAAGATCCTTGATTCTTTGCGAAGGGGGAATAGGACGGCTTATCCAAGTTACATGATAAGGGACGGATTCTTCTTCTATGGCCTTAAGTTGTGTGTTCCTAGTTGTTCCTTAAGGAAAAATTTGTTGGTTGAGCATCATAAGATGGGGCATTTTGGTAAGGACAAGACCCTTGGGTTGCTTCAAGATGCTTATTATTGGCTGGACATGAACAAGGATGTGTAAAGTCATGTGAAGCATTGTTAAATTTGTCAAAGGAGCAAGGGGACTGCCATTAATGCGGGGCTATATATACCTTTACCAGTGCCGGATGCTCCTTGGTGGTGCATTAGTATGGACTTTGTGTTGGGCCTCCCTCCTACTCAAAGGCGGAGTGATTCTATCATGGTAGTAGTGGACTGTTTCTCCAAAATGACACACTTCATACCTTGCAAGAAGACCATGGATGCTACAAACATTGCTAATCTTTTCTTCAAGGAAGTTTACAAGTTGCATGAGGTGCCTACTTCTATTGTGTCCGATAGAGATGCTAAGTTCCTTGCTCACTTTTGGAGAACTTTGTGAAGGAAAATTGACACAGACTTGAGTTTTAGTACTACATTCCATCTACAAACCGATGGTCAAACGGAAGTCGTGAACCGTAACCTTGGTAACTTGTTGCGGTGCCTTATAAGGGATCACCCCAAGAGTTGGGATGGCATCCTTCCTTTGGCTGAATTTGCTTACAATTCATCTATCAATCGCACCATAAATACTTCTCCCTTTAAAGTAGTTTATGGGACAAGGCCTTCAAATGTGGTGATGTGGTGGATTTGGTGCCTTTGCCACTCTCAAGGAGAGGAAGCGTTAAGGCGGAGGAAATGGCCACGTTTATGAAGAGCATTCATTCTCAAGTGACGACCCAAATTGAAAAGTCTAATGCGACGTATAAGGCGGCCGGTGATGTGCATAGGCGATGAGTGGTGTTTAAAGTGGGGATCTTGTGTGGGTGGTATTGAGCAAAGAGAGATATCCCCATGGCACCTACACTAAGTTGAGTGACAAGAAGGTGGGACCTTGTGAGGTGTTGCACAAGATTAACGACAATGCTTCTAAAGTTAAGCTACTGCCTCATTTAGGCATCTCCAATACCTTTAACGTGCAACACCTTGTACCGTACTTTCTGGATGCCTCTTCCATTGATGATACCCTTGTAAAATAGTTCCTTGAAAAATTGTCATCTTGTACTTTGGGTTTGTGTCTTTCATTTCTAGTATTGGTTGTATTTTGTTGTCTTCACTTGAGGACAAGTCTTTTCTTAAGAGGGGGAGTATGATGTAGTGTCATGTGCATAGCACGTGTTAGATAGTGTATCCCATAAATAGAGAATTACCACATCACTTGTAACTAACTTGGATATATTGAATTGAATTGAATTGTATTGTATTGAGAATTTCTCTCTCTAATATCTCTCACTAAGTTCCTCTCTCTAGTTCTTGATTGACCATTTCATCAGAAAAAGCGAGAAGCAATTTCGATTCAAAAACAGAACTTGGAGATAGAGGATTTGGTACAGTATATGAAGGTATTTACAAAAAACCACTCTAGCATACACTAAATGAGAAATTTCACTATATTCAACAATTGATTGACAGTCACTGTTTGATATATCGTGACTAGGCAAGCCCCGCGATGGACGTATTATTGCTGTCAAGCGATTATATGAGCATAATTTCAAGAGAGCCAAGCAATTCATGAATGAAGTTGAGATCCTCACGCATTTACGTCACCAAAACCTTGTCTCTCTTTATGGGTGCACAATGCACCATTGTCGTGAACTCCTACTTGTTTATGAGTACATTCCTAATGGCACCATTGCCAATCATCTCCACGGTGAACGAGTGAAGCCACGTTCACTATGTTGGACTACCCGAATGAGCATTGCCATAGAAGCCACAAGCGCGTTGGCTTATCTCCACGCTTCAGATGTCATTCACAGAGATGTAAAAACGAACATCATCCTCCTTGACAACAATTTTTGTGTCAAAGTTGCCGATTTTGGGCTCTCTCGCCTCTTCCCAAATGATATCACTCATGTCTCCACTGCCCCACAACGGAATCCTGGATACGTAGACCCTCAATATCACGAATGCTATCAATTAACTGACAAGAGCGATGTTTATAGTTTTGGGGTTGTTTTGGTTGAGCTCATATTATCCAAGCCTGCTATGGATATCAGTAGGCATCGACATGAGATCAATTTGTCCACCATGGCTATCAACAAGATCCAAAATCACAAGTTGCACGAGCTTGTTGATCCATGTCTTGGATTTGACTCGGACTATGAGGTGAGGAAGATGATCACTAAGGTGGCAGAGTTGGCTTTTCAATGCCTGCAAAATGAGAGTGATTCAAGGCCGTCTATGGAAAATGTATTGGAGGTTCTAAAGGGGATTCAGAGCGAGGATTGCGCGATGAAAAATGCAGAGGTGGTGGATATCCATGAAGATGATGTTGTGCTGTTGACGAGCAAGTCACCGACGCTTTCGCCTAGCAGGTGATCATATGACCTAATGCCAGTAGCTAAGTTGTGAAATTTTACTAAATTTTCAAAGTACATATTGAAGATTTTTCAGTAGTCGATGTACATTAGATGCTGAGTTTTGGGTGTTATCTTTTTACTGGATTTTGTTATACTGAAGTTGATGTATATATTGTGTCATTTCATTAAATTGATTGTAAAATAGCAATGCATTTCATATGGAGATTGAAATGTAATTCACTATTTATATACTGCATGTAACTAAGTCATGATTAAATGTATCTGTTATGTGAATGAGACTATCTCATAGAAGTATTGATAATAAGAAAACATTTTGATTAAGCTACTTTTTCTTTTTCTTTTTTTTTGTTAATAAGAAACATATTTTGACCCTTTTTTTTATTTTATTTTAATAACCCCATTCTTGTTGGTTGAATTAACTTCCCCAGTTGATGCAGGGGAAGTTTTGTTTGTTTATTTTGTGCTCGTTTTTGCTGGTTTTTGGTGTAATGGTCTCTAGCTTTGATTCCAAATGTAGTACTCTCTCTTTCCTATTCTAATAAAGTTAACTTCTCTGCTGTTCAAAAAAAAAAAAAAAAGGTTGGTATTTTCAACCACATGAACAAAGATACTGTTGAAATTTGAATTGAACCAGTTCATCCAATTATATGTGACAAATTTTCAGTGTAGACTTTCCCATATTTATCTTCTCATAAATAAACAAATATATATAATCAACAGGAACAGAGTTCATTATAAACAAATTCAAAATGATTTTATAAATTGCAAACATGTTAAATTATTGCCCCGAACCGAGGCACACGGCCAATGACTCCGAAAAACCCGAAACCGGACTCCAAGCGGGCAAAATGGCCTACGACCACGAAATGTAGCCCACGGCCACTGAGAGATGGTCTACGGGACCTCTCCCTCCCCTCAGGAAAAGAAACAGAGAAAACCGAGTCTGGTTCGCGAACCGAGGCAAGGTACAAAAGAATCCGGAAGTCCGGAGGCAAGGCTCGCAGCCGAGACTCTGAAACTTCTGAACGAGCACAATATGCAACATCACCGAGCGCTTAATCGGTGACGTCTGAGTCTTAAGGTCGGTCAAAAATGAGGTGTCTACACCTATCTTCTTCTCTGCTTTCTTCTTCTTTTCTTTTTCAGTTTATTATTCACGAGTTACTGTTCACAGCCTCATAAGTGCTGAAATCCCATCTTTTCATGCTTAAATGCTTACCTATTTATCACCCTAAACAAATCCTACTTGTTCCCTATATTCTTATTGCTATTGCAGCCATAAAATCCAATTAAAATCAGACCCAAAAGCCTAAATTTGTTGTTGTCCCTAATTGTCCTGCATCAATTTGCATATGGGCAAACTAGCAGTGTGCTTGGTGAAAAATTATTAAGTGTTGTTAAAGTAACTCTCTATCTATTTATCAATCAATAATGTTCTAAAAATCTCTAACGATGAATATATATCATCAAAGGCATAATCTATGCTAGCAATTCATTTCACTTGGCCACCACCACGGTCTGTGATTTGGACAATACATGCCCAATTCCTCGACACAATTTTAGTAGCGAGGGAACTCCATTTAGCCATAGTCTAGGCTACGCGGATCTCTTCTTCTATGATTGCACCTCACATGCTATCGATCAAACATATTCAACATCAATCTTTCATGTGTTTCACAAGGAAATTTTGGAGTACAAAAAATTTTCAATGGATTTGTGCCATGCCTTGGTTAATAAACTAGCGAAAGTTGATCAAAAAATTGTTGGAAATGAATTATACCGGTGTTTTGATGAAGGGGTCTGTTTTGCAATGGGGTGAAGCTAATTGTAACGATTGCAGTAGAAGTGGCAGGAGCTATGGTTATAATAACGATGAATTCCTCTGCTTTGGCCCAGATCGCCCTCATTCCAAATCTTATGATGATGGTAAATAAATATATCGGTACTTAGTGCTTTATAATTATTATTCTTGAAGTTTAAGAAGATTTATGGTGTCTTAGAACAAATAGTTAACCTTTGTACCCCTTTTCTTTCTTTATTTTTTCTTATATGCTCATTTTCTATTATACATTTTTTTATATATATAAATAATTTATTTAAATGTGATTATTTGTACAAATGGTTTATTGTGTTTCATGATTATTGTTGCAGATATTATAAATGTTCGGCGAAAGCTTTTAATAGGTAATATACCCTTAAAATTAATTTTTTTTCTTCCATCTCTTCAGCCCAAAAACGTCGAAACAGGGTATCCTCACTCTGTTTTCATGCAGGGTTTGGCACAACGGGAATTACTATCATTGTCATGAGCCTTATTTTCATCATCTATCATTTCCGGTACAAAAAGCGTTATGGTACTTCATCTTGGGTATCTAAAAAAACTTCTTTGTATCGCTCTTCAATGAAAGATCTAGAAAAGGCAGGCACATACTTAAAAGTCCAAGGGCTTGTTTGGTTTGTATTTGAGAAACATGTTTTGAGATAAAAAGGATGAGAATTTGTTTGGTTTGATTTTTTTTCAAAAGATGTTTTGAAAAATTATTTTGAGAGAGAGTTTTGGAAAAAGTGATTGATTTGATGTGTATGAGAGAGAGATTTGTTTGGAAAACTTGTAAATCAAACAAGTTTTGGAAAAAAAATTTAGAAAAATTTATTTAGTTTGATTACTTTTGGAAACTTATTTATAGAAAAAAAATTTCAAAATTTTTAAGAAACACAAACCAAACAAGGCCCAAGTTTTTAGCTACAGCGAACTCCAAAATGATGTCGTGTCATGTGCATAGCATTAGCATGTGTTAAATAGTGTATCTTATAAATAGAGAGGATAACTAACTTGGATATATTGAATTGAGTCTCTCTAAAATCTCTTTCTAAGTTCCTCTCTCTAGTTCTTGATTGACCATTTCATCATTTTGGTATCAGAGCTTCAGTTTATTGTTTCTGATTCATGTTCTAAATGCATGAATTGTGGGAAAGATACGTACCTGAAATTTGAAACCCTAATTACGAATCACAATCACGATCACAGTTGTGTGAGAAGCCATCATGAAGCAGTACTGGAAATTTCGTTGAACTCAAGACATAGAATCGAAGCTCATGGTTCGTAAATCTATCTCAAATCGGGAATTGCAACTTGGGGTTGAATTGAAGTTGCGAGTTGTCCTTTGTGAATTCTGGGAGCTCGATTGAAGATTTACAGTTCTTTTATGATCAAGATTCGACTTGCGATTCTTTGAAGTTGGGCTTCTCATCCGAACTCGAGTCCAAGCCCTAGTCAAGATCCGAGTCACAGTCGCAAATCGACGTTGCTGTTCACATTCCGATTTCAGAATCACAAAACACATCGATCCAAAGTTTGTTAGATTTTCGCAATTGCGAATCTGGGTTTTGTTCTCTTGTGATGAAATCATACCTTGGCTGTCTTTGAAGTTGTTCTGGACTCGATTGACTGAAATCAACATGTGGGTAAGCGATTCTTGGAGTCTTTAATTCATCTGTGTTGAATTTCCTATGTTATATCAAGTCTCAAATTCTTTAAATCTGTGTGCATCAATTTGAGTTCAATTCTTGTCTTCAACATTTTAAATCTTGCCTCTGTTATAACATTATCTGTTCATTGTGCTGAGATTGTATATTGGTGCACTGTTTTATCAATATTCAACTGGGTGAGATTACTGTGTCTCTACATATTCTTGGAAATTATTTAATGGCTCAATGAGGTCGGGGTCATAGGGGTGGTCATGGTAGGGCTTATGTCCCAAATTTGGGTGATCATGATAGGGGTATTGGGATTCTGTATCCAAGAGATGAGATGGCCGAGATGAGACGACAAATTGCCGCGTTAACGTCTCCTACCTTCTACCGAGGGTAGTGATGGTTCCGATGAAACCGAAGGTGGTACTCATCATTCTTTTGATAATATCTTTTGGGCCCCACGACAGCGTCGAACGGATGTAGGTAGGATGGAATACAAATGGGAGAACAATATCAAGATTGAACTTCCCGAATTTCATGGAAGCCTCAATCTAGATGAGTTCATCGATTGGCTCAACACCATTGAGCGGATCTTTGACTATGGAGAGGTCTTCATTGAAAAGAAAGTTAAGCTTGTGGCTATTCGGTTGAAGAGGAGAGCTTCCGCTTGGTGGGAACAACTTCAACTCAATCGTTGGCTATTCAGTTAAAGGGGAGAGCTTCCACTTGGTGGAAACAACTTCAACTCAATCGTCGCCGATGTGGAAAGGAGAAAATGAAAAAGAAGTTAAAGGGCCATTTTCTACCATTCAACTACCTCCAAAGTGTTTATCAACGCCTTCATGTTCTCAAGCAAGATGGTAGTGTGAATGAATACATGGAAGCCTTTTGTCGCCTCATTGCACGGGTTGACTTAAGTGAAAATGAGGAGCAATGGGTGTCTCGCTATGTGAGCGGCTTGAAATCTTCCATCGAAGATGTTCTTGCCTTGCACACATTATATAGTGTTTCCGAAGCTTATAATCGGGCCTTAGCCGTGGAGAAGCAACAAAGCCGTCGTGCTTCCCCTATGGGACAATACTTCCAAGGAGGGTTTCGAGGTGGTTTTAGGCCAGATCCTTCCACTCCTAGCTTTGCCAAAGCTACTCCTCCTTCCAAGTTTGTGGATAAGGGTGCTTCCTCCTCTCAAGCTCCTCGTCCTAATGGTGTTTTCGGAAACCAAAATCCACCACAAGGTGGAACCTTCAAATGCTTTAGGTGTGGTTTACCGAGGCATAGATCTTCCGATTGCCGCAAGAACATGGGTAATAATCGGAACAAGGCACTTCTCATTGAAGAAGTTGAGGAGCATGGTGACTCTGAAGATGCTTCAATCTTTGATCCTTTGGATAATGTGGCAATTGGTGGAGATAGTGATGAAGAAGAAGGTCTTGCTCTTAGGTTGAAGAAGACTCTTTTCTCACCAAAACTAGAGAGCCAAGAAGATTGGTTGCGTACTAATATCTTTTATTCCACTTGCAACATTGGCAGGCGTGTTTGTAACATGATCATTGATAGTGAAAGTTGTGAGAACGTAGTTTCTCAAGAAGTGGTGGACAAACTCAATCTTCCGGTGGAGGAACATCCCCATCCTTATTCTCTATCTTGGTTCAAGAAAGGCAATGAAATCAAGGTTACCAAACGGTGCTTGGTTTCATTTTCTATCTGGCAAAAATACTTTGATGAGGCATGGTGTGATATAGTGCCTATGGATGCTTACCACATTCTACTTGGGCGACCTTGGCAAACGGAACACTTACACCGTTGTCAAGAATGATATCCGGTTTACCTTACTTCCAATGAAAGAAAAGGTTACTTCCAAGGATGTTTCCAAATCATCTCCTAGTGCCACTACATTACTTGCTTCCAAGGAGTTTGTGGAAGAGAGTCGGGATTTGGGATTGTATTGGTGTTGGTTCCGGTTGTACACATGGGTGCTTCTACACAAAAGCTTGAGGTGGCTACTCTTTTGGAAGAGTATTCTGATGTCTTTCCCCAAGAACTTCCTCCCGATTTGCCTCCTATGCTTGACATTCAACATCGTATTGATTTGGTACCCGGGTCTGTGCTTCCAAACAAACCGGCCTATCGCATGTCTCCAAAGGAGAAAGAAGAGTTGCAACGGCAAGTAGAAGAGCTTTTGACTAAAGGGTATATCCGGGCTAGCCTTAGCCCTTGTGGTGTTCTGGCGCTTTTGACACCTAAGAAGGATGGCTCTTGGCGTATGTATGTGGATAGCCGTGTAATCAACAAGATTACAATCAAGTACCGCTTTCCTATTCCAAGATTGGATGATATGTTAGATTGCCTTGACGGATCAAAGGTGTTTTCTAAGATTGATCTTAGAAGCGGGTATCATCAAATCCGCATCAAGCCCGATGATGAGTGGAAAACGGCCTTTAAAACACCTTATGGCCTATTTGAGTGGCTTGTGATGCCATTTGGGCTTACCAATGCTCCGAGTACTTTCATAAGAGTGATGACACAAATGTTGCAACCATTTTTGGGAGTGTATGTCGTGGTCTACTTTGATGATATCTTGATATATAGTCGAAGTTTGGAAGAGCATTTATGCCACCTTCGGCAAATCTTTGAGCTTTTGAGGCGAGACAAGTTCTCTGGCAACACTAAGAAGTGCACCTTTGTCGTGGACCAAGTCATCTTCTTGGGATATGTTGTGTCTTCTCGTGGGGTGCTTATGGATGTGGAGAAGGTCAAAGCAATTTTGGACTGGCCCACTCCTTCTAGTATCCAAGAAGTACGGAATTTTCATGGTTTGGCTACTTTCTATAGGCGATTTATCCGCAACTTTAGTAGCATTGCTGCCCCTTTGACCAACATTCTCAAGCTTCAAGCTTTTGAGTGGAGCAAGGAAGCCACCGATAACTTTCATCTTTTGAAGAAGTTGCTTACCGAGGCTCCAATTTTGGCATTACCGGATTTTGACAAGACCTTTAAACTTGATTGTGATGCATCGGGATTGGGTATTGGAGGCGTTCTTAGCCAAGAAGGGCGGCCCATTGCTTTCTTTAGTGAAAAGTTAAATGGGGCTAAACTCAAGTATTCCACTTATGACTTGAAATTTTATGCCATTATCCAAGCCAATCAAGCATTAGAGCTACTATCTTGCATACAAAGAGTTAGTGCTCAACGCCGATCATGAAGCTGTCAAGTACATCAACAGTCAATCCCATCTTAACAAGCGCTATGCCAAATGGGTGGCCTACTTTCAACAATTCACATTCTCTTTGCGCCACAAATCGGGGGTTCTTAATAAGGTGGCCGATGGGTTGAGTAGGCAAACGGCTCTCTTGATTGAAATGAAAAATGAAGTTGTGAGTTTTGATGAATTTCGCACATTCTATGCAAATGATCCTTACTTTTCCAAGATCTTTGATTCTTTGCGAAGGGGGAATAGGACGGCTTATCCAAGTTACATGATAAGGGACGGATTCCTCTTCTATGGCCTTAAGTTGTGTGATCCTAGTTGTTCCTTAAGGAAAAATTTGTTGGTTGAGCATCATAAAATGGGGCATTTTGGTAAGGACAAGACCCTTGGGTTGCTTCAAGATGCTTATTATTGGGCGGACATGACCAAGGATGTGCAAAGTCATGTGAAGCGTTATCAAATTTGTCAAAGGAGCAAGGGGACTGCCACTAATGCGGGGCTATATCTACCTTTACCAGTGTCGGATGCTCCTTGGCGGTGCATTAGTATGGACTTTGTGTTGGGCCTCCCTCCTACTCAAAGGCGGAGTGATTCTATCATGGTAGTAGTGGACTGTTTCTCCAAAATGACACACTTCATACCTTGCAAGAAGACCATGGATGTTACAAACATTGCTAATATCTTCTTCAAGGAAGTCTACAAGTTGCATGGGGTGCCTACTTCTATAGAGATACTAAGTTCCTTGCTCACTTTTGGAGAACTTTGTGGAGGAAAATTGGCGCGACCTTGAGTTTTAGTACTACATTCCATCCGCAAACCGATGGTCAAACAGAGGTCGTGAACTGTAGCCTTGGCAACTTGTTGTGGTGCCTCGTGGGGATCACCCCAAGAGTTGGGATGGCATCCTTTCTTTGGCTGAATTTGCTTACAATTCATCTATCAACCGCACCATAAATACTTCTCCCTTTAAAGTAGTTTATGGGACAAGGCCTTCAAATGTGGTGATGTGGTGGATTTGGTGCCTTTGCCACTCTCAAGGAGAGGAAGCGTTAAGGCGGAGGAAATGGCCACGTTTATGAAGAGCATTCATTCTCAAGTGACGACCCAAATTGAAAAGTCTAATGCGACGTATAAGGCGGCCGGTGATGTGCATAGGCGATGAGTGGTGTTTAAAGTGGGGATCTTGTGTGGGTGGTATTGAGCAAAGAGAGATATCCACATGGTACCTACACTAAGTTGAGTGACAAGGTGGGACCTTGTGAGGTGTTGCACAAGATTAACGACAATGCTTCTAAAGTTAAGCTACTGCCTCATTTAGGCATCTCCAATACCTTTAACGTGCAACACCTTGTACCGTACTTTCTGGATGCCTCTTCCATTGATGATACCCTTGTAAAATAGTTCCTTGAAAAATTGTCATCTTGTACTTTGGGTTTATGTCTTTCATTTCTAGTATTGGTTGTATTTTGTTGTCTTCACTTGAGGACAAGTCTTTTCTTAAGAGTGGGAGTATGATGTAGTGTCATGTGCATAGCATGTGTTAGATAGTGTATCCTATAAATAGAAGATTACCACATCACTTGTAACTAACTTGGATATATTGAATTGTATTGAGAATTTCTCTCTCTAATATCTCTCACTAAGTTCCTCTCTCTAGTTCTTGATTGACCCTTTCATCAGAAAAAGCGACAAGCAATTTCGATTCAAAAACAGAACTTGAAGATAGGGGATTTGGTACAGTATATGAAGGTATTTACAAAAAACCACTCTAGCATACACTAAATGAGAAATTTCACTATATTCAACAATTGATTGACAGTCACTGTTTGATATATCGTGACTCCGCGATGGACGTATTGTCGCTGTCAAGCGATTATATGAGCATAATTTCAAGAGAGCCGAGCAATTCATGAATGAAGTTGAGATCCTCACGTATTTACGTCACCAAAATCTTGTCTCTCTTTATGGGTGCACAACGCACCATTGTCGTGAACTCCTACTTGTTTATGAGTACATTCCTAATGGCACCGTTGCCAATCATCTCCACGGTGAACGAGTGAAGCCACGTTCACTATGTTGGACTACCCGAATGAGCATTGCCATAGAAACCACAAGCGCGTTGGCTTATCTCCACGCTTCAGATGTCATTCACAGAGATGTAAAAACGAACATCATCCTCCTTGACAACAATTTTTGTGTCAAAGTTGCCGATTTTGGGCTCTCTTGCCTCTTCCCAAATGATATCACTCATGTCTCCACTGCCCCACAACGGAATCCTGGATACGTACACCCTCAATATCACGAATGCTATCAATTAACTGACAAGAGCGATGTTTATAGTTTTGGGGTTGTTTTGGTTGAGCTCATATTATCCAAGCCTGCTATGGATATCAGTAGGCATCGACATGAGATCAATTTGTCCACCATGGCTATCAACAAGATCCAAAATCACAAGTTGCACGAGCTTGTTGATCCATGTCTTGGATTTGACTCGGACTATGAGGTGAGGAAGATGATCACTAAGGTGGCAGAGTTGGCTTTTCAATGCCTGCAAAATGAGAGTGATTCGAGGCCGTTTATGGAAAATGTATTGGGGGTTCTAAAGGGGATTCAGAGCGAGGATTGTGCAATGAAAAATGCAGAGGTGGTGGATATCCACAAAGATGATGTTGTGCTGTTGACAAGCGAGTCACCGATGCTTTCGCCTAGCAGGTGACCATATGACCTAATGCCAGCAGCTAAGTTGTGAAATTTTACTAAATTTTCAAAGTACATATTGAAGATTTTTCAGTAGTTGATGTACATTAGATGCTGAGTTTTGGGTGTTATCTTTTTACTGGATTTTGTTATACTGAAGTTGATGTATATATTGTGTCATTTCATTAAATTGATTGTAAAATAGCAATGCGTTTCATATGGAGATTGAAATGTAATTCACTATTTATATACTGCATGTAACTAAGTCATGATTAAATGTATCTGTTATGTGAATGAGACTATCTCATAGAAGTATTGATAATAAGAGAACATTTTGATTAAGCTACTTTTTCTTTTTCTTTTTTTTTGTTAATAAGAAACATATTTTGACCCCTTTTTTTTATTTTATTTTAATAACCCCATTCTTGTTGGTTGAATTAACTTCCCAAGTTGATGCAGGGGAAGTTTCGTTTGTTTATTTTGTGCTCTTTTTTGCTGTTTTTTGGTGTATTGGTCTCTAGCTTTGATTCCAGATGTACTAGTCTCTCTTTCCTATTCTAATAAAGTTATCTTCTTCGCTATTCAAAAAAAAAAAATTGTTGGTATTTTTCAACCACGTGAACAAAGATACTGTTGAAATTTGATTAAACATGATTCATGAACAATCTCTCAAATGAACCAGTTCATCCAATTATATATGACAATTTTTCAGTGTAGTCTTTCCCATATTTATCTTCTCATAAATAAACAAATATATATAAACAAATTCAACCTCAACAAGAACAGAGTTCATTATAAACAAATTCAAAATGATTTTATGAATTATAAACATGTTAAATTATTTAGTACCACCCGTGACGTTATCTCAGTAATCTTTATGGGATGACATAAACATATTCAAAATGATTTTATGAGCTCATGAACACTTGAATAAAGATGCAGATTAATCATTCCAAGCACACTGAAAAAGAAAAAAGAGGAAGAGTTGCAAATTTGTTGAATACGCACCCTTTTAAGGCTTGATGGCTGATACATAATCTAAAAAGTCAGTCGACGTTATTGAAGAATCCAGTAGTGGTCTTGAAGGAGAAGATAAGTAGGGTTTCGGAGGGATTTCCAAACCTTCTATGTCACCTTCCAACATCTCCACGACCTTACTCATTGATGGCCTCTGTGATGGATCAGTTTGTATGCACCACAAACCAACTAATATCATCTTCCTTGTAATTTCCCCTTCCTCAGTAGTCATGTCACCATGCAGTCCTAGATCCTCATCTTGCTCGAGACGCTTATAAATCCAGTGTGGAAAATATATCTCACTACTATGATCCACTGCAACATTGACGTTCCTACGACCTCCAACCATTTCAAGAACCATCATTCCATAACTGTACACATCAGACTTATGTGACACTCCTCCAAAGTTTCTACTGAACACTTCTGGAGCAATGTAGCCAATGGTTCCTCTAGCTCCCGCCATTGATACAATACTTTCTTTTGTAGTGCATAGTTTAGCAAGACCGAAATCAGAGATCTTAGGGCAGAATTCCTCATCTAGAAGAATGTTGTGAGGTTTTATGTCAAAATGCAATATCGGTGTTTTGCATCCGTGGTGCAAATACTCAAGTCCTCGAGCTATTCCAATCGCAATTTGGTACAGTTTTTCTAATCCCAGGTGCCCACCATTCTTCAATGGATTTTCACCATATATAAATTTTTCTAGAGATCCGTTAGGCATCAACTCGTAAATTAGCGCTCTTTTGCCACCCTCGAGACAAAATCCCAGAAAGGCGACAACATTGACATGAGAAGTCCTACTAATGCTTGCAACCTCATTGATGAACTCTTCTCCATTTCCCTTGGATGCATTCAAGATCTTCACTGCCACAAGACGTCCATCCAGTAGCTTTCCTTTGTAGACAGCCATAACCTCCTTGACCAAGTTTATCTCTAAAGGAATTTGTTATTTTCTTGACATCTGAATAGCTATACCTTTTTGGTGCCAAGGCTTTGTAATGTCTGATGAAGGACTCAAGATTTTGGTCATTTTCTGTTTTCTTCTTCCATAATACAATTAATTTATTTGACCAAAGCTTCCTTCTATAGCAGCAGATAATGATACACATTAGTAACATTCCCATCCCAGCAGCAGAAGCTCCTGTATATAAAAACAAGGGTAACTTAATTAGAGTGATGAATTGTACTCCTTGAATATTATTTTGGTCTTTTTTCTTCTTTTTTTTTCATTTCTGAACAGGAGGAAAGAAGTAAACTTTTTTGCATCTAGGAACTAGCAAAAGGAAGGGTACCTATTGTCAACTTCTGCCTCATCTTCCTGCTGGCCCCTGCATGCAAAATTGGAGCAATTAGCAACTCCTTGACCAAAAACAAATGACAAAATTTTCGTAAACACCACCAATTGTTTTGGTATACACTTCTGTTCCAGTTACACAATTCGGTGGAAGAAGTATACATAAAAGCTGACAGCTTAAATGATTATGAGACTAATGTGTTTCAGATAAATGTCTTCTCATCTTTGTATGCAATGCATTTTCTTAGCATCACGTACACAACACTTTGAAGACAACTTCTAGGAAGTCTTGACGTTTGTAGATGATGGATGGCCTAATCTTTTGGCCAAAACAATTCTGCAGAATAAATGGAATGGGTTGACCCCTTTCAAAATCCCCCATAATTGGGCTAGATTCACTCTATTGTGAACATGTTACGCACCAACTTAATGAATTCAGTAATGCTAGGTATCATGAAAAGTCTTTCATGAAAATGGTCATAAAAGATTTGTGACCTTTGGATTACACTTACAATCAGTTACACAATTCGGTGGAAGAAGTATACATAAAAGCTGACAGCTTAAATGATTATGAGACTAATGTGTTTCAGATAAATGTCTTCTCATCTTTGTATGCAATGCATTTTCTTAGCATCACGTACACAACACTTTGAAGACAACTTATTCTAGGAAGTCTTGACGTTTGTAGATGATGGATGGCCTAATCTTTTGGCCACAACAATTCTGCAGAATAAATGGAATGGGTTGACCCCTTTCAAAATCCCCCATAATTGGGCTAGATTCACTCTATTGTAAACATGTTACGCACCAACTTAATGAATTAGTTTATGGTCAAAATCACATGGCTTATACAATTAAGCTAATGAGTTAAGATGGTGAAACATATTTATGGACTGCAATTAACAAGCAGCTTATTACCATGATGAGTAAAAGCAATAGAAATATGCAACAGGGGAATCTAAATGAAATGCACATATGAAGAGAAAGGCTGATATTATACCATCACAAGCTAAAGGATGAGGTTGGTCCTGGCAAAAGCGGAGGAAGTTCACAGAGGTCACATATTGGCCGTCTTCAGAGTTCGAACTAAGCTTAAATAACACATTTAGTTTTTCAAACTAAGCTTAAACAACTTACTACTCAAGCTTGACTCGTGTTCGGCTGGTTAAAAATTTTAAACCAAACTCGAACAACTAATATTAGCTTGACTCCGCTTGTTTACCGCCCTACTCTCAACGACTTGGCAACTAAAAATCGAATAATGGTTTCACTGATGGCAATTTCAATAGTACAAATGCTAATTACTCGCCCGAAAAATAATAATAATAAAATAAAATAAGTGGCATACCATCATTTCGACAGTTGCGGGGATGAGTATGGTCCTGACAATGGCAAACAAACACGAGGGAACTAGAATCTGATCCACAAATCCCACCGGATTCCTCACACCCCAAACAAGCCGCATTTTCTGCATAATAAACCACCTCAAAGCCCTGGTTCAAAGCCTCCTGCAGCGACAATGACTTGCTCGAAAGCTCATCCAGAGCCACCCGAAGAACCGGAACTTCAACACTCACTCTGCATAACACTCCCTCAAACTTGGTAACATTTCCAAGCAGCAGAGCCCTCAACAATGACTCGTCCGCGTAAAAACCCAAACTCTTTCCGCCATCACTTCCCAAATTCGTACACGTAAAATTATTCGACAAGCCTCTAGTAAAATTATTCTGGGTGCAATCGTAAAACATGAATAGATCTCTCACAGCCTGACTGTACCAAAAAAAGTTGCCATCCAAACTGATATTACTCAAATTCTGAGTACAATAACTATCCCAGAGATCTATTCTCGCGATAGTCATGACATGACTAGATTGATTTATTCCTAGTACTTGAAATGACCGATCGTTGATGGTCACAGTTGGGTACTCGGTATTCTGACACTTTAACTGAAACTGTGGGTGGCCGCAATATTGAGGCCGACCATCTCCCCAAAAGGGATATCTCATGTTGTGTATGTTTGATCCGCAACTGTATGTTTGATTACAAACGTTGTATTGTTGGTTGACCTGACCATAACATGGTTTTGAGATCGCGGTGAAGATTAGTATGGCGACGATGATGGGAGAGAAGAGATTATGGGTATGCATTTGCAGAAGCGGTGGTTGGAAGAATGGCGGTTGGTGGGAGGTGTTGTTTGTTAAGGATTGATCGTTGATGTTAATGAGAATGGTTTTTCTGAAAGAGATGGGAATGGTTTGCTTGTCAAAGTAATTTATTGTTAAAAAAACAAAGAGTCGTCATTCGCCCAGTTGTTTTTTGACGAGGAAAAGTCAGAGATAGTGAAAGGCTGCTAGTTTCGACGACTATAAAAACATATATATATATATATATATATGCTGTTTTCCGAATTTATGGCTTGCAGTAAGGAACTGCCACAGATGTTTTTCATTTAAGAAAATGTTATATGTCCCTTTGCTTGATCACACCAGTGCTAAGAATACATAGGTCAAATGTTATAAGAGGTGCGATTCACATTATATAAGACTCACATTATTTATATGATATTTGTGTCTCATTTTATATTTGTATTTATATTTAATCTTTTATGTATTTACGTTTATGGGATTTTTATTGATAAGTCCAATTTAGAAGTGTTTTAACCCAAGAAGTCTATGAAGGAATTTTTTAACCCATTTAGTCCCATGTATGTATAGTTTTATTCCATAAAGTCCATTTTCTTGATTTACACTATTTTCTTGGACACTTATGCCCTTATATTTAATTTTGATACCCTTATAAATATTTTTTGAACGATTAGCAATTTAATGATGTGAACATTCATATTTTAAAATTCACATTGGTAGGAATGTAAAATTGGCCCGTGGGCGGCCCGAAACCCGCCCGCGAGCTGGCCGACCAGATTAGTAAGGCCTAGTTTGGGAAGATTGAAAAAAGTCAAAAAGTCAAAAAGTCACTATCCTATTTAAGTCACATCATCTTATTTAAGTCACATCACCTCTCTAACACATCACTTCAAACCCAACCCAAACCCAACCCATATTTCATAAAAAGTCAAAAAGTACACTTATTTAGTCTTCCCAAACTAGGCCTAAATTAGACTAAACAAGTAAAATACGATTTGGTTGGATTTGAAGTCATGATTTTAAAATATATTTTTATTATTCAGATTATAATCGAAAAATATTACTCATAACTTAAGATTTGGTAGATGATTGTTCAGAGTTAGTTTTATCACTATATAAGAATATAAGAGTAGATAATTACAACTTGTATAAATAATTGATTTGTTATTTTATTTATTTATTTAAATAATTTAATTCAATTTAAAATCAGATCTATAATTATAAAACTATGAATCAATATAATTCACTTATTTTAAAAATCTAAGATTGCATGGAGAATATCAAATCCAACCATGTAATTTGGTCTGAATGGGATGGGTTTGTAATTTTTATATTTTTTATATTCTTGCTAACTACTACGAAACATTAAATAAAAATACAACAATATATATATATATATATATATATTTGGATCAATAAGACTACACACAACATTATTGCATGAAAAATATAGTCGAGAAACCCAACTCGTTAAGCGAAGGGAAAACGTGGAAAACGCGTTCAATAAAGGAACATACAAGTTGCTAGCTTGGCGACAAATCTAGCGATATGTGATTTCTTAAAATTAGCAATCACAGTCTACTGACGGACGGGTAGACAAATTGTTTAAGAATCACATGATACGCTTTAGCTTTTGTGGGGTCCAGCAGCTCCACTGTGTGACAACCACCCGCATTAAACTGGGCCATCACCTGCACACCCTTCTCTTTTAACATCTTCGCCACCTCCATCTGGCGGTCAATCAGCGGGTCTCCCTCACAGCCCGTTACCATAACTTTCCACCCCAGCAACCTAACTCGCTCGACCGATTCATTGCTTACCGTTGGATTAGAATACTTGTGATCTCGATCGGCACCAATTGGCAACGAGCATTCCCACATAAGATCATTCATAAACAGCGGAATTATCCGATCGTTGACTAATCTCATCTCTGATTTAGTCCTCTGAGACCCACCAAAATACGGATGGTGCAATATCAGCCCTTTGATCTTCAACGGTTCAAGATCAGCTGATGCCGCCGCAGCAGCTGCACGTAGTGCCGCGTGGTAGGCTATGTTTCCACCAGCGCTAACGCCCATGAGAAAACAGCTTGAAAAATCAGTGAACTCACGCAGCCATTCATCGTCGGAGGTTTTAATCCAGTGCAACGCTTCCATGGCGTCATCGTAGGCCGCCGGGAGCCGGTGCTCTGGAGCGAGACGGTAATCGACGGACACGATTACGACACCGGTTTCGATGACCATATCAACGCAGAAGTTGTGGAAAGCATTGGTGGATGCACTGCAAGTGGTGAACCCTCCACCATGGAAGTAAACAACGAGAGGTAGCTTTGTGGTGGATGATGATGATGAGGAACTATGATCCAGTGCTTCTCGGGGAAGGAATAGGCGAACCCAGGTGTTGTGATGTGGGTTGAGAGAGACGTCTTTGGATAGAACGGGACAGGTGGAAGAGTTGGGATCGGGTGTTGCAGGGATGATTGGGAATTGCTGGACGCGGGTGATCGTGCCGTCGGGGTTTCGGATGATGCTGACGTAATCGAAGGCTTGGCCTGCACTTGTAGGATCTGATGATAGGTTGCTTGGATGGTTAGGCATGCTTTCTAACAGAATGTTGATCAAGATGGGAGAGTCTGGGATGGGCCGAGAACAGAGGAAGCTTCAAAGAAGAAAATTGGTGGTGATGGGTTGACTGGGTGAATAGGGACAGCGACTGGAAGGAGTTGGGCGTGAAGGCGGTGGACTCGAAGAAATTTTAAGGTATGTGTAGAAAATTCTAGCGGACTAGGTTGAGGTCCGGCAGGCGGCTAAGGTGAGGTTGCCGCCCGCCGGGGAAGCGAAAATATTAGGTTCTAAACCTGCTCTGATACCATGTAAAATAAATTGATGTATATTATTGATTGATTTTTTTGTAATACAAGATTGTTGTGTATATATTATGTATATTACAAGGATTTATATAGGAGAGGATTTGGGAGTAGGTGAAGGTGGTAGTGGAGGTGGTAGGTGGAGTGGGTGGTTTACTATTTACAATTTACATTTTACATTACCAGTACAAATGCTAATTACTCATTAAAAAAATAATAATAATAAAATAAAATAAGTGGCATACCATCATTTCGACAGTTGCGGGGATGAGTATGGTCCTGACAATGGCAAACAAACACGAGGGAACTAGAATCTGATCCACAAATCCCACCGGATTCCTCACACCCCAAACAAGCCGCATTTTCTGCATAATAAACCACCTCAAAGCCCTGGTTCAAAGCCTCCTGCAGCGACAATGACTTGCTCGAAAGCTCATCCAGAGCCACCCGAAGAACCGGAACTTCAACACTCACTCTGCATAACACTCCCTCAAACTTGGTAACATTTCCAAGCAGCAGAGCCCTCAACAATGACTCGTCCGCGTAAAAACCCAAACTCTTTCCGCCATCACTTCCCAAATTCGTACACGTAAAATTATTCGACAAGCGAGCCTCTAGTAAAATTATTCTGGGTGCAATCGTAAAACATGAATAGATCTCTCACAGCCTGACTGTACCAAAAAAAGTTGCCATCCAAACTGATGTTACTCAAATTCTGAGTACAATAACTATCCCAGAGATCTATTCTCGCGATAGTCATGGCATGACTAGATTGATTTATTCCTAGTACTTGAAATGACCGATCGTTGATGGTCACAGTTGGGTACTCGGTATTCTGACACTTTAACTGAAACTGTGGGTGGCCGCAATATTGAGGCCGACCATCTCCCCAAAAGGGATATCTCATGTTGTGTATGTTTGATCCGCAACTGTATGTTTGATTACAAACGTTGTATTGTTGGTTGACCTGACCATAACATGGTTTTGAGATCGCGGTGAAGATTAGTATGGCGACGATGATGGGAGAGAAGAGATTATGGGTATGCATTTGCAGAAGCGGTGGTTGGAAGAATGGCGGTTGGTGGGAGGTGTTGTTTGTTAAGGATTGATCGTTGATGTTAATGAGAATGGTTTTTCTGAAAGAGATGGGAATGGTTTGCTTGTCAAAGTAATTTATTGTTAAAAAAACAAAGAGTCGTCATTAGCCCAGTTGTTTTTTGACGAGGAAAAGTCAGAGATAGAGGAAGGCTGCTAGTTTCGACGACTATAAAAACATATAAATGCTGTTTTTTGAATTTATGGCTTGCAGTAAGGAACTGCCACAGATGTTTTTCATTTAAGAAAATGTTATATGTCCCTTTGCTTGATCACACCAGTGCTAAGAATACATAGGTCAACGAAAATGATGCAGATCACTAATTAGTAGTTGCATTAGGGATGTGGTAGTGGGTCCACCCACTATCACATGTGTTTTGTGTCTTAATTTTTTTTTGTTTTTTACTTGCCACATCATTAATAGTGGTGTTAGTGGTAGAAATTTAGTAGTATGTAGTATTGTTGCATAGGTCAAATGTTATAAGAGGTGTGCTTCACATTATACAAGACTCACATTATTTATACGATATTTGCGTCTCATTCTATATTTATGTTTATATTTGATCTTCTATGTATTTAGATTTATTGATATATTTAAGTCAAACACTGACAAAATTAAATAGTTATTTGATTATATGAAATAAGATATGTTAAAAAAAAAAAAGATTATATATGAAACAAGACATAAGCTAGCTGAACTATAGGCCTAAAAATTAATTTGTCTCTCTACTTTTTTACATTTTTTATAAAACATTTAAACTAAAAAAAAAAATCAATTCTCAAAAGAACCCATAATGAACAAAGAGTAAGAAAACCATCACTTTATTTATTGACAAATGTTAACCAATCTTATTGAAGCATTGTTTAATATCAAATTTTAGGTAAAAAAATACGTTAGAACTTAATAAAAAAAAATTTAAAAAATTAATAAAAAATATTTTGAAATAAGTAAAGTGTGTTCCATTTTCTTTAATCCTTTTACCATTTTCTTATACTTCAAAAACACTTATTAGGGAATACAAACAACCACCAAAAAATAATCTTTACTATCCATTAATAGACTTTGGAATGGGTGATTGCAATAGTTAAATCTGATCATTGATTAAGACCACTGTTAGTAAAAATTATGCTAAGTTTAGATCGATAACAACCAAGTAATAATTTTAAACAAACAATTTAAACAGAAAATTAAACGATTGTATAAAGGTTCTAAACGCCTTGAAAGTACAAAGACTTCTTTGAAACAATTAACAATCAAAAGAAAGAGTATTCAAATAAACAAAGATAACTCCAAATGAAATTATCTAAGTTTACAAGAACTATTAGTCACAAATTTCAGAGAACAAAATTACTCCTAACTTGATAATCTACTCCTAAAACAAAGACTGTTATTGTTGGATTATTGATATTCCCCTTCTCTCTGCAAACTTCTGACTCTTATAGTTCTCTTTCTCCTCTTTTTCTTGATCCATGATCCCATTTCCCTTGGAAGCTACAGGCCACTAATCTCCAACTACTGCTGCTGCAACTGTCCCATTTCCTTTAGAAATTGCAGGCTACTAACCTCCAATTGTTGCTGCCAGTAGCATAGCCAAGAAATTAAATCAGGAGGGGCACTTGTTAATTATAACTTTATTTTTTTTTTTTCATAACTAACAATAAGAAGATAATCATAATTTTTGAATTAATATTAAGTACAAAAAATTAAATAAAATGTTACAAAAGTATTTCATATAAAATTTTACAATTAATTTCGAGTAAAATCGAAAAGAAAGTATTATGTGTAACTAGTGTATCATGGAAAATGTAAAAAATTCATATATTTAAGTCGTAAAATAAATTATATAATGGTAAGATAAATCAAATTTTTACAAAATTTGAGTAAAAATTTCATATAATAGTGATATCATGTCATTATTGACATATGATATCACCAACCAATAGTAAAGTAACATATGAAGGGTGAACTCTACATGCAAATATAACTAACACTCTAATAATTTTTACATATATATAATGAGATTAATTATATTTGCATATCAATAATAATGGATATTACCTTTATATTGAGGTTTTTTCACAAATTTTTACGCATAAAAATATAATTTGTTGTAGTCACTTCATTTTCAATAAAACAATCACTATTGTTTTCATAAATTTAAAAATGACCTTTATATTTAATTTTAAATATTATTTTTATTTAAAATTTTATTTATGTACATATGTAAAAAAAAAAAAAACGAAAAATCCAAGGGGCATAACCCCCTAGTCCCCACTGGTTGCTGCAATTGCTCCATCACTTTCAAGTCTTTAAACTTTTGCAATTCTTCATATTTCTTCATATTTCCTGTCGAACTAACTTTGCTCCATACTGCCACATGTTCCTCATCATTTTGAACACTAAATCGACAGAGAAAATCTTTCCTTCATAAACCAATTTTCACACAAATCAGTCCACTAAGCCAACAATTATTTAATAACAATAATGTTTGAGACCACTAAAAGTGGTGCTCTAAAAGCACCACTAGTGATGTGGCAATGGACGGGGCCCACTGCTTGTGTCTTTTTTTTTTCTTTTTTTATTTTTAAATGCTTGTCAACTCATTAGTGGTGCTTTAGAGCACCACTTTTAGTGGGATGTATCATTACCCTATTTAATAATTGTTCTGTGACTACTTTTAACAATTCATGCACTTAAACAATTATTTCTTGCCTTGTGTCTCTTTGATCAAGTGAAAGACTTTTACTTTTGACTTTATTGTCATGTGTCATCATTCAATTGATCCACCTGTCGATAGGAAATTTACGAAAATGGGTGCAAACAAGCCCCCCAACTCTTTAAGAATGAGAAGTCTGGAATTCTTGAATAGTTGTATAAAAAATTAAATTGGCAACAACCTTTTCAACAAACAAATATCTATAAAATACATGCTTAGGGCCAAGAAATCCGGTGATCAAACACCACATTATTAATAATCATATGCCACATAATTGGCAAAATCACAGCTCAATCCAAGTGAGCTACATTTGATAGAGCATATTAGAAACATTTCGAGTATATGATCTACAAATGGCTAATGAGAACCACCTTCCACAAACACGGTATCGTTGTGCAAATACAACTGCTACAATTTCCTTTGGTCCTGTGTGCATATTTGATGAACACAATTTAGACCAAAAAGTTTTCTTCATGCACTTGAAAATATGATCACATGCTTTCAACTGTTAGTGTTCAACGGTGAAAACACATTTTTGCTTAATCAGTCATAACTTCGAAGATTCAAAGTAAGAAATAGAGGCCACACTCGAATGGCCATTATTTAGCTTGCTTTATATACATTTTCTGAATATATATTTTCCAAACAATGTTGGTTCATTAACCATTTTATTAAAACCAAGTTTTGGTGTGATCCACATATCCAAAAAAGATTTTGAACAACAAAAGCCATCAATGGCCTTAAAAACTCATACATGTTAACATCTTGAACAATGTCAAAAATTTTAAATTCATGAACATACTGTCATTCATCATTTTCAGCCATATTTGGCTTAAGATCACACTTCTTTGTTCCACACATTAATGAGTTAGCAACATTTTTTGAAAATCTAGAAAATATTTCTTCTTTGTGAAATTGTCCCCCTGCCATGGAATTCTTATTCTTATGGCCTTTTGTTTTTTCACCCATAACAACTGATGAATTAACTTTTTCATCATTTACAACCTTTAAAGGCATAGGAAGAACAACTGAAAAGCCACAAATTTTGGCTTCTATAAGAATTTTCTATGTTTCTCTCCATTGATGAATTTCGATCTCAAAATGATCAATCTGATCACCAAGTTGACCAATCACTTTATCAAAATGATTTTGTATCTCTAACCTCAAATAATATGGCAATGACACTATTGTTTGAAATTCTTGCCAATCAAGATAATCAATTTTTTCTTATAAATATAAAATCTCATTCTCACACCAACGCATCTCCTCTTCACAAAACCAAATCATTTCATCTTGCCTTCAAATTTTGGTCATCATTCCAAATTAGGAAGATGTCTCATTGGGCGTGCCAAAAATTATGCTGAGCTTAGATCGACAATAACCATGCAATAATTTTAAACGAACAATTTAAAAAGAAAATCAAACGATTGTATAAATGTTCTAAATGCCTTGAAAGTACAAAGACTTCTTTGGAACAATTAACAATCAAAAGAAAGAGTATTCAAATAAATAAAGATAACTCCAAATGAAATTATCCAAATTTACAAGAACTACTAGTCACAAACAGAGAACAAAACTACTCCTAACTTGATAATCTACTCCTAAAATAAAGACTAAGTTATTGTTGGATTGTTGATCCCCATTCTCTCTGCAAACTTCTGGCATTTATAATTCTTCTTTCTCCTCTTTCGTTGATCCATGATCTCATTTCCCTCGAAAACTGTAGGCCACTAACCTCCAATTGCTGCTACAACTGTCCCATTTTCCTTAGAAATTGTAGGTCACTAACCTCTAACTACTGCTGCAATTGCTTCATCACTTAAAAGCCTTCAAATTTTTACAATTTTTCATATTTTCTGTCGAACTAACCTTGCTCCATACTACCACATGCTCCTCATCATTTTTAACACTAAATCGACAGAGAAAACCTTTTCCTTTATAAACCAATTTTCACACAAATCAGTTCACTAAACCAACAATTATTTAACAACTGCTCCATGACTACTTTTAACAATTCATGCACTTAAACAATTCCTTCCTGCCTTGTGTCTCTTTGAACAAATGAAAGACTTTTACTTTTAACTTTATCACCATATGTCATCATTCAGTTGATCCACCTGTCGATAGAAAATTTACAAAAATAGGTGCGAACAACCACATAACAATAAAAATAAAAAATAAAAACAGAAAAAACTACGTACCTTTGCAGTGATCATTGCCTATGGAACCATCAGAGCAGAAGCATAAGAAGGCCTTCGCCACTTCATTATAACCCACAACGCCCTTGGGATGCCTCACACATGCCGCAATCCGCCACCGTCTGCCAATCAAGCTCTAATCCATCATTCCTGGCCCCACCAAACCCGCTAATCAAGTCATTAATCTCATCAATGTCCAATTCCATCACCGTTGCCACCACTTTCTCCTCACAATAATCGTACCAATCAATACCCTCCGGCTCGTTCCCCACCTTAAACACATATGACTGGTTCGCACCGGATCTCAAGCACTCTATAGATCACTACAATTAAAGTAAAAACTAAGGTTCAAATCTAATTTCGAGTAAGACAATGGCAAGGTCTCAAGGGTAATGTTGTGACTCACCATAGGACACATTTGACTGTTAATAACATCTATGTCGATGAGGGTGAGGGGTAAATTTGGCATAATCTATATCTTTCATGACGTTCGATGAGATGGTTTCATTATTATTAGCCGAACAATTAAGGCCAAAGCTTGAATAACCACAGTTTTGGTTCGAAGTTGTCTTGCTTAGGAGCCAAAATGGGTACTCAATTTTGACACTGCCACACTCGTGCCGCGAAGAATTTCCATCTTTGCCCTCAGCTGTCTTGAAGAAGAAGAAGAAGATAGAGAGAGAGAAAACAAGGAAGAAGTAGAGAGGTTCAGACATGGTGACAATTTTGAATCTGAAGAAGGAACCAAACAATTAAACTATGAACATGCATGCATTGATTGACTAATATGTGGGATTGCTGGTTTGTAATTTCCAACATGTCCCTCCCTAGCAATCTGATCAAGTATTATATACACGAGGGTGGTGTGGTTGTAAAACAAGAGCTATTTTTTGTTTTGATAGCCAATTTTAAGTTGAAAACTAGAACATTTTCATAGACAAGGAAATTTTATTTATATATATATATATAATAAAATAAAAAGAAATTATAAATATTTTCTATAAATTTATGTGACGTATAGTATTAAAAGTTTTGTTTTTTAAAATAAAAGTTGATGAAACTAAATAATAAAAACAATTTTACACCAGTTTATAAATTAATTTGTTAAAAAAAAAAAATTCTTTTGTATAACAATTACATCATAAAACAAAAACAAACAAAACATTAGGGTAACTATTAACATAGTAGGTAATTTTATTGAAACAAATCATTGGCTAAGCCACAAAACAAATTTGGATAGCAAATGCCAAATCAAGTTTGTTCAAAACAAGTCAATTTAACAAAGTTGAAGTGTGAGAATTTCCAATGGAAAGTGGGACATGCCTTTGAATTTATTTATTTAAAACATTCTTTAAATGTACAAGAAACCACTCGGCAAATGTTGACTAAAAAAAATGAGGACATTTCTAATGAGTTGATCAAAACTAAAATTGAAAAAAAAAATCCACTAAATAAAAATAAATTTAACTTATTAGTTGAACTATGATTGCCTATGGTTTTCAAATTGGTTATGCTTTTCTTTTTCTTTTTTTTTTAGTTGTTTTTTAATAAGAAAAATTAAAAATAAATATCTTTACATATATGCCATATTCTGTGTGGGAATGATTCCCCTCCATACCATGATCCTCCATATCTATCCACATTATATTTTGTAGGTCCTATTCCGGGCCTACAACGATGATTTAAATTGTTCATTTGTAGACCTTACAATGAAGATCATTTGTACAAAAAAATTATCAATAAACACATAAGACACATGAACAAATTACATTTTATTTTTTAAAATAAACAATAAGTATGAGTTTAACTTAAACCATTCATTTTATAAAATAAAATACAATTTATTTACCTATTCATTAATATCCAACGAAATTGATTTTTTGCACAAACGATCTTTATTGCAAAATCTATGATATGAATAGTTCGAATTATCATTATAAATTCAAAATAGAAGCCACAAAATGAATTATTGATGGATATGAAAAATAAATAGTGGTATAGAAAGGAGCCATCCTCATTGTGTTGACAGCATAGCTTCTCTGAGGGTGTCCAATTCATGTTTTGAAACATGAGCGGTGCTAATGCTGTATTTGGTTAGGAGATTTAGGGAGAGATTTAAAAAGGAAAAGGGAAAAGGTGTGTGAAATTAGGTAAAATATAGGTATATTTTATTCACATTTCATCTATATTTTTCATTTTCCTTTCTAAATCTCTCTCCAAATTCTCCAACCAAACACAGCATAAGAGTATACATATACAAACTTGAGGGGCACATAAGCAATTCATTCCTTTCGGCGATATATTGACGAACACGAAACATTAATACCTGAGAAACTCAACTAGCCGTTGTAAAACTCAAAATTCAAAAATCCATGGGTCGCTCTCTGAAGAGCCAGAGAGAGCCTGAGAGACCCAACACAACGTCATAGCTTTCTCTCTCTTTCTCCCATTTTCTTTTTGTTTCTCTCTCTAGAATTCTCTGCTCTTCTTTGCTCTCTCCCTCTCTCTCAACTGTGATCTGCTCAAAAGGATCAATTCTTCATCGATTCGCCAAGTTAGTGTAAATCGATCGACTCTGATTTGAGATTTCTGTAAGTATTACCTTTCCTTCTTTATATGACCTCATTACAATTTACAAGTTTTCTTTCGGGTTCAGGTGAATTTTGTTGCTGAAAATCCCCAAATTTTCCTTTCATCATTTGTACAAAAATTGCAAACTTTAACATGCATACATACACACATATGTAGAGTGAAGGATGGTAGTGATAGCACCTGATAATTGAACTTTTAGGTTGTGTTTGGATCTTGGATTTGTATAGGAATTTATGAAGGGAAATGAAAAGGCAATGGAAGAAAAGAGCAATTTGTATTTATTTTTTGGGACTTGTTAATTGTTCTATGAGAAATTATTGTTCTGTTGGATTGGATGATTAAATTGTAAATTTTATAGCTCATTTTCTAGTATGATTTGGGATTGTTAGGTTTTTTAGGGTCACCAAAAATGTTCATTACAGATTGTATAAGTAATAAAATTTGATTAGTTCATTATACAGTTAATGTTGATTTTGCTGAAATATGTTAAATCTAGTTTACTTCAATTCAAAGCTTAACAGTGTTTGCTCAATTGATGAATTGAAGCTCTTGACTCTGACTTTGTTCAATTATTTCTCTAAAGCATTCATATGAATTTCCAACTTTTCTTCATTGCATTGTTTTGGGACTTGGCTAAAAACCAATTTTTAGATTTTAACATATTTTGAGTCATATCACCTCTCTACTTTTTTTTACATGTTTTTTTCAAAAAAAAGTCAAAAAGCCACCTTTTAACCAACTTCCCAAAACAAGTAATAGTAATTCAGCTATTTTTTGTCATATACTAGTTATAATTTGTTCCAACTTCCTCACAGATACAGTCCCAAGTTGGGGGTGGCTAGTAACACTCCAATTATCATTCATCTTGCAACTGTTTCAATTCTGTAGCATTTCTTGAGAGAGAAGCTTTGACTGTACTTCTTACACAGTCTTCTTCCAAGTTCAACTGCCAAGGCAAACTTCAAATACACATAAAGTAAATATGACAGTTAAAAATCCCAGTACACCAGCTTCAAAAATAGATAGGACACCAGTGTCCACTCCAGGTGGTACCAAAGTTAGGGAAGAGAAGATTGTCGTAACAGTACGATTAAGGCCTTTAAACAAGAGAGAGCAGTTAGCCAAAGACCAAGTAGCATGGGAATGCATTGATGATAATACGATTGTGTATAAACCACCAGCTCATGACCGCGCTACTCAACCGGCCACATTTACATTCGGTACTTAAGTGACACTCATATCTTCTTTGTATTTTCTTTTAGCTAGATGTTTTTATTGTATAATTTTTCTCAATTATATGTAAACTAATAGCATAAAGCTTCTTCTTTCAGATAGAGTCTTTGATCCTGCTTGTTTAACAGAAGCAGTATATGAGGAAGGAGTGAAGAATGTTGCTTTGTCTGCTTTAATGGGCATCAATGGTTATGCTTTCCTTTACATCTATCATTCTTTTTTTTATTTTGGTCTTTGTTACTACTTCAGAAATTACATACATACTTGTTAAACAATTTTTTGTTTCTTGTATTACAGCAACAATATTTGCATATGGGCAAACTAGCAGTGGGAAGACCTACACAATGAGAGGAATCACTGAGAAAGCTGTTAATGATATTTATAGGCACATAGTGAATGTAAGCTTCATCACACTTTATTCTATGTAATTCAGTTTTTTTATCACGTTTGCGCATAGGTAAATACTCACTTAAACCTCATCCCTAAATCATGATGAAAATATTCCATTTGTTTGTGGAAATTTATGCTTGACCAATGCAGGGAACTCAATATTAACATCAATTTTTATTTTTTTTTTTTTTTAATTTATCGCATTCAATCTGATTATATGTTCATTTGGCTTCATAACAGACTCCAGAGAGAGATTTTCGTATAAGAATTTCTGGGCTGGAAATCTATAATGAGAATGTCAGGGACCTCTTGAATTTAGAATCTGGACGCAACCTCAAGCTTTTAGATGATCCAGAGGTGAAACCTATACATACTGATTAACAGTTACAGGAATCATGTGTTTGTCTTTTCTCCTTGCTAATATTTGTTTACTGTAACTCCTTGGATGCAGAAAGGAACTGTGGTTGAGAAGCTGGTAGAAGAAACAGCAAATGATGATCAACATTTAAGACATTTGATCAGTATCTGCGAGGGTAAACATTTAAAGCTTCTGGCTTTTTTGTGTGCACATGTCTTGAGTGGCATTTTCTTAACCTTTTAATTAATTTTTTAAATGCAGCCCAAAGACAAGTGGGTGAAACTGCACTAAATGACACTAGCTCACGGTCACACCAGATAATAAGGCTGGTAAGCTTAGTAACTTGTAATGTATGTTAGCACAAGTAGATAAACAATGTAACTTCTTACAATTATTTTTTGCAGACAATAGAAAGTACTCATCGTGAAAGTTCAGATTGTGTGAGATCTTATGTGGCAAGCCTGGTAAAACAACCTCTTGCCTTCATATAATTGGGGAAAACAGTCCAGACAACAGTAATTTCGTATTATAACTTGTACTATTGATGTTCTGCAGAACTTTGTAGATCTAGCTGGCAGTGAGCGAGCCTCACAAACGAATGCAGATGGTGCTAGGCTAAGGGAAGGCTGTCATATTAATCTTAGTTTGATGACTCTCACAACTGTAATTAGGAAGCTCAGGTCAGAGCTTATTAAATATTGCTTTATTCTTTTTGTATTTTGATTTCCTTTAACCTCTTTCTTCTCTTCTCAGTTTTACTTGTTGTAAAGGAACTTCAGGATGTTCAGATATTACTTTGCACATACAAAGTGTTGAAATAACAAAATGAGTACAATGAAAGGATGTTTGGATATTTTCTTGTTTTCACTTGTGTAGAGCTGGCTTCACAGACTAATTTGTTATTATATTAACTATTAGTTTCCTTAAATTTGGATACATTTCAAAATGGTTGACTCTATGTGATCCAATGGCTTCACAGACTAATTTGTTATTATTAACTATTAGTTTCCTTAAATTTGGATACATTCAAAATGGTTGACTCTATGTGCTCCAATGGTATTGTGGAGTTGGAAGGTTTAAAATCGTTTCAGTTAATCTATTTGGTGATCATTCTGTTGTAATTTCCTCCAATCTTTCAAAATTGCACGGATAAGTTAACATGCTATGTTCATTTGTGAATTGTTGCTGATTGCAGTGTTGGGAAAAGAAGTGGTCATATACCCTATCGAGATTCAAAGCTTACACGCATATTGCAGCACTCCCTTGGTGGAAATGCTCGTACTGCCATCATATGCACTTTGAGCCCAGCATTAAGCCATGTTGAACAATCCCGGAATACTCTCTTATTTGCTACCCGGGCAAAGGAAGTGACAAATAATGCCCAAGTAAATATGGTGTGTATTATTGGTTTCTCACCTTCCCTAGCAAATAAATTGCCAACTCTTTTCTCCTTATTCAAAATTTAATATTGAGGTTGTTCTAATCTTGTTTTTAATACTTTGATCAGGTTGTTTCAGATAAGCAGATGGTAAAACATTTGCAGAAGGAAGTAGCCAGACTGGAAGCAGAGCTACGAACCCCAGATCCCTTAAATGAAAAAGATCGGAAAATTCAGCAGGTATAGGACCCAATCAATGTAGTAGGTTAAACCTACTAGGTTTGGTCATGGATTCCCAATTAGTTTAGCAGGGATTCAATTGACATTCATTTTTCCCTTACCAATTTTGCCTAGATGGAGATGGAAATCGAAGAACTAAGGCGCCAAAGAGATCTTGCACAATCCCAAGCAGATGAATTACGTCGAAAACTTGACGAGGAACAACAACAGGTATCTCTTTTTGTCTCTTCCCCTCACCCCTCTCTCTTAATTCATTTGCAAAAGCCCTTATCTTTTCTTTTGATGTGTTTGATACCTACCTCAGGGTTTAAAGCCGTTTGAATCACCCAGTCCAGTTGTGAAGAAGTGTCTTTCTTTTTCTGGGGCATTATCACCAAAAGATAAAACAAGAAACACAACGGGAAGGCAGACCATGAGGCAGTCATCAACTGCCCCTTTCACACTCATGCATGAAATTCGGAAGCTTGAACACCTCCAAGAGCAGCTTGGAGAAGAAGCGAATCAAGCCCTAGAAGTACTCCAGAAGGAGGTGGCTTGTCATAGACTAGGTAACCAAGATGCTGCAGAGACTATTGCTAAGCTGCAAGCAGAAATAAGGGATATGCGTGCTGTTCGACTAGCCCCAAAAGAAGTTGAAGTTGGAAGTGCGATCACTGTTAACAAGAGTGTTAGTGCCAATCTCAAGGAAGAAATAACCAGACTTCACTCACAAGGAAGCAACATTGCAGATCTTGAGGAGCAGCTTGAAAATGTTCAGAAATCCATAGACAAATTGGTAATGTCCCTTCCAAACAATAATGATCAAGAGTCTAACAATGAGGCAGCTATGAAAGCCAAGAATCAATCAAAAAGAAAGAAATTGCTTCCTTTAGCTTCAAGCAATAGTCCCAACCTGCCCAACTTTATACTATCTCCGTGCTCACCTCTATCATCTTCTCATCAAGTGTTTGAGTCCGAAATTGAAAACAGAGCTCCAGAAAATGATGACAATATGCCTAGTGAAACCCCAGCAATGTCTGAGAGAGATACTCCAACAAAAAGTGAAGAAGGTACTCCATATCAGCGTTCCAGTTCAGTAAACGTGAGGAAAATGCAGAAGATGTTTCAGAATGCAGCCGAAGAGAATGTAAGAAGCATAAGAGCATATGTAACAGAACTTAAAGAACGCGTAGCCAAGCTGCAATATCAAAAGCAGCTACTTGTTTGCCAGGTAAAACACAGAACAAAATTGTTCTACCTGTTTTTGTTTTTGTTTTTGTGTTTGTGTTTGTTTTGTTTTGATTTTTCCTTGAATTTGCTTCGTTTGCATATGTTATGCCTCTAGGTGCTTGAGCTGGAAGCAAATGAAGCAGCTGGATACAACGTAGAGAATGACGATAACATAGCCGAGATACATGGGGAGTCCCCAGCTCCATGGCACGTGACTTTTAGGGAGCAGAGGCAGCAGATCATTGAGTTATGGGATGTTTGTCATGTTTCCATCATTCACAGGACACAGTTCTATTTGTTATTCAAGGGAGACCAAGCTGATCAGATATACATGGAAGTGGAACTCCGGCGCTTGTCTTGGTTGCAACAGCACTTAGCAGAGCTTGGTAATGCAAGCCCAGCTCACGTTGGAGACGAGCCTACAGTCTCTTTATCCTCAAGGTTTTTTTTTTTTTTTTTTTTTTTTTTTAACAGAGATTCACATTTAATTTCATTTTAAATGAGTTAAATTGTGTTCTATGAATGGCAGTATAAGAGCACTGAAGCGGGAAAGGGAGTTCCTTGCGAAGAGGTTAAAAACTCGTTTGACAGATGAAGAGAGAGAGGCATTATATATAAAATGGGGAGTCCCACTTGATGGGAAGCATAGGAGGATTCAATTCATAAACAAGCTTTGGATAGATCCCCATGATGCCAACCATGTACACGAGAGTGCTGAGATTGTAGCAAAGCTTGTTGGCTTCTGTGAAGGTGGAAATTTGTCGAGGGAGATGTTTGCGCTTAATTTTGTGCTTCCATCTGATAAGAGGCCATGGATTATGGGTTGGAACCAAATCTCAAACCTTCTTCATTTGTGAGCAATTAGCTTGTGACTACTGTCCATTCTCATTTCTTTTACTTGTAAATGAATTGAATTTTGGAGTCTGTTTACACATCTGAGATGCACTGCTTCTTCAGTTATGGTGTGGCAAAGATTTGGGGTATTTGTTATATGATTCTCATTTTGCATGATGAGACAATATTTGCCATTGCATTTTTTCTGGATAAAAGAATCAAATTCATTTGGTACAGTCTATTTTCTGTAGAAACAGAGTTCATTCTTGGCACACTTAAAAAATCTGAGTGTTTGTGTTTGATTTCATTTGAGCAAATGCAGTCAGGTAACAACAGATATGTTCTAGACTTCATTGTATCTTGAATGCAGATTCGCTCACCAAACTAGGTAAAGCAACATGACTTCTCCAAGCTGGTTGAACATATTTTGCGAATCATATGATGAATTAAACATATGAGAGAGAGACGGAGGCAGAGACAGATCTCCATTATTAATAATACCATAGCCAGTACAAGGTAGTCAACACCAGATTCAGAAGACATTATTATAACTATATAAGATACTAGTATACTGGCCCATATATGACATTAATATTACTATATATGATAGTATGTCAAAAGAAGCATGAGAGAGAGAGAGAGAGGAGTCCTCAATGATAGATGTGGGGGGCATTCATTTATCTAACACTTGGGGAAGGGAACCCCACAAGTGGTGCTAACTTTCTTGGCATTGGGAGAGGTGACAAACTTCTTGAAGATGGGGTTGTTGATATATTGGCAAAGGCATGGCTCTTGCTCCTTGAGCTTGTTGCAGCAGAGCTTCGAAGGAGGCACGGACGATGTCATTGAGCTCAAGCAAGGGCTCAGCTCTGTTGGATTGCATGTCACTGCCATGGAGACCTGTGCTTCATAGCCCCACAGCAGCACCAACAATGCAATCACTGCAATGTGTGATGCCTTCATTTTTAACTCTCTCTAGTTGCTAGGATGACCAAAACTTAGACGAGAATAGAGTTGGGATGTGGATGTGGATGTCTTGCATTTTTTACTTGGGTTGCATTATGAATTTATAGATAATTGATCGGCAACAAAATGCCCAAAAAAATACATGAATAAAGAGTAAGGAATTTAAACTGTTAAAGATTGTGGGTCACCTTAACAAATATATTTGGCCCCCAATGGGCTGGACTGCCCACTTACTTTTCATAATGTCACAATCAAATTGAAAAACAAAGAAAAAAAAAATCAAAAAAACTGATATTTTTATAAAGATAAAATTACATGAAAAATGATGAAGAACTTGGCATCATGGAAGGTAAAGCCAATTTAAACAAAAAGAAAGTTGTGTTCTCTTAACCTTTCCAAGACGATGCTTTAAACTAAATTATTCTTAGGACTAATGATATTTGAACTTCATTTTTCACGTATTTCATTTTTGTCTTTTAGCCTCTCACAAATAGAGTTTGAGAAGCTAAAATGGAGTGTGAATATGGTTACTCAATATTAATAGCAATATTAGTAGAGGTTTAAAGTATACATTTTAAAATAAAATAAAAAAATTGAATAAAATCCGAGTTTTGCTTATGCTCAATAGACTTGCCAAACATAATCCGTTGGCCGAGACTCTACACCTAATTAGGAAATTTGGAGTTCAACTTTTCTCACTTATATATGGGATTTGTCTCTTTTTGTCTTTGTTGGAGTTAGGCTTTTCTATTTCTTCTATTCTTGCAATAGAGAAAATGATTGTAGAAAGATTGCACATTCTTTGCCGACACGAGAACATTGCCCTACGCTGTGTTTAGTTAAAAGATTTGCTCAGGAAAAGGGAAATAGAAAGAAAAGGAAAAAGAATTGATAGGATTCGAAGTTTAAGTTAGGTTTGGAAGAGTTGTGAATGGAGAAACAAAAGTTTAAAAGTTTAAGTTAGGTTTGGAAAAGTTGTGAATGGAGAAACAAAAGTTTAAAAGTTTGGCTAGAGGTTTTGATGAGAGAAAGGAAAATAGAAAAAGAAGGAAAATGAATTGATAGTATTCGAATTTTAAGCTATCTTTAGTTAAGTTGAGAATTGAGGAAAGAAAAGAGCCTAAGGCCCTGTTTCTTTACAATATATAAGCGCTGAATATGAGGGTGGAGCCAATTATAATATGAGGTGGGTCCCAAATTTTTTTTGTCTCCTTATATCCCGTGTTTGGTTGCTCTGAATATAGAGAGTCTAAATAGTATATGATTCAAAATGGGGTATATGCCATAACCCCAATGATATCGTATATCTTTCACCGTCGGATATGGCTCATCTTTCATACAAAAATAAAAAATAATCGCTCTCCTCTTATCCTATCATATATCATATCTTAACCAAATATAGTATAAGTGACCCCACAATATATATAATTCATCTCATATCCGATAACATATTGCATCTTATCCTATATCCTTGGATATTACATATGCTCATCAAACTCTTATATCCAATCAAACGGGGATTAAGTGAACCCAAAAGACAAAAAAAATAGGATTTTATTTCCTTTTCACTTTCTTTTCCATTATAACCAAACAAAAAGTGAGATTGTATTTTCTTTTCTCTTTTTATTTCTCTCATCAAATCCTTCAACCAAACACGGCCTAAGTGAACCCAAAAATCAAAAGGGTAAACTATCAATAGATCCTAATAGTTGAACTTAATTCCCATCAAGTCCTATTAAAAATAAATCTTGGTAAAATTGTCGTTAAAAATAATTTTTTTGTGATAATTTTTTATATATATGTCGCTAAAAATTAACAATTAGTGACTTTTTTTTGTCATGATTTTTATAAGTTGTCGTTAAAACTTACAATTAGTGACTTTTTTGTGATAAATTTTTCTCATAGGACCTATTAGATAATAAGTCCACTTATTAGGACCTACACGTAAGTACCCCAAAACAAAAAATATAATTGCATTATCCCCTTACTTTCTTTTCCCCTTACTTTCTTTTCCCCTATGTTTTCCATTATGACTAAACAAAAAATGAAATTGCATTTTCTTTTTCTTTTTCTTTTCTATTTCTCTCATCAAATCTTCTAACTAAATACAACCCTAATGTTTCTAAGATATATGCATTGTTATCAATCCTCGACCGTATCAGCCGGTACATACCATTTTAAATGCAAAACAGTACCTACATAGTCCAATTTCGTTCCATCTAAAATACCGCCCAATACTGGACAGTACCAACTAGAAAACATAATACCAGGTAAATACCGGACAATACTGGCCATATTTTTTTATTTTTTTTGTAGTGGTTTGTAATGTTAAAATGATAGAAATTTGTGTTTCATATTCTCTTTGAAGTACCTTAATTTGTGTTATTTAGCAGACATAGTATCTTTTAAGCCTCTTTTACATATAAATTTGTGATTCATAATATGTATTGTTAAATTATTTGTTACTAAATAATATTTTTAATACATATATAATATTTTCGTGATAAATCCAAAATGGTATCCGGTAAGGCTGTATATGAACAGAGACGTTCATGAACAAGTTCAAGCTCGACTCGGTAAGAGCTCGTTCAATCTCAGTTCGTTAAAAAAAAAATTGCGTTCGAGCTTGAGCTCGAACTTGTTAAATTTTTAATAAACAAACCCAAACATACTAAAACTCGGCTCGTTAGCTGGCTCATTTGACATTTATTATTTATATATTAAATAATGTAAAAATATGTATAAAAAATAAGGTGAATTACCAATAAATCCCAAAATGTGATATTGTGAACGGTTTAGTCCTTTATTTATTTATTTTTTATGAACCCAAAAGTCTCATTAAAGTGAAAATTACACAAAATGGTAGTCATTTACATGTTTGTGTTTAATTTTTTAAGGATAAAAGTTGGGTAATTCTATTTCCACACACAAAAACATCTCATTCCACATTCTCTCTCAATACACATACTAACTAATTTTGAATTTTGTGATTTTACTCAATACACAACCTTTTTTGCCAAAAATATCCCTCTCTTTGACATTGAAACCCTAAACCAATCCATCCTCCCCTACTTTGGTCTGAAAAAGAATGCAAATCAAGAATTACCCATTTACAACAGCGATCGACAAAGTCCATTACACCCCTCTCTCTCTCTCTCTCGGTTTGTAGTATATTCATTCTTGATCTTTCAGCTTTGATCTGCAAATTTTCCTGAGAAAATTTTGCTCACATCACTAAAATTCAAGAGAAAATGAAGGTTAGATTTCGAACTCTCTCTCTCTCTCTCTGTTCCATCTTCAATTCAATTTACTTTTTATTTATTTATTGCTTTCTACAACTTTTTCTAGATTATAGATTCTGATTCTTTTCCATCTCTTTCTCTCCTAGGTTCCTCAGTGTTTAAACGATTCAGTAAATTTCATAAATGATTTTAGTTGTCTTGTTTTAGTTCATCAATTTTGAATAAAAATTTGGTTATAATCTTAATTTTTAAAATTTTAATAAATAAGTCCAAACATATTAAAATTCGACTTGACTTAACTCAACTCGACTTGTCTGCGACCTTAATATCCGATGACATACTGATACCGATAGGTATCATACGAGGTACTTAATCTGATGCGGTATTAACAACTTTGGACATATGAGCCCCACGTGATCATGTACGCGACTAGCAAGGACATTGAGTAATGCATCAAGAGAGAAGATTCTATTGGTAAATGATTGCATAAAAACTTATTTTAACATTGATTGCATAAAAACTCTGCGATTATCAGTCACCATAGGAAACTCTTCCCACTAGATAAACTGATTCTTGTAGTGAAGGGACACACAGGGCAACCTTCAAAATTCTTGCTTCCCTAAAGCCATTCCTTTCTTTCTACTTTCTAGCATTCACTTTCTTAGCTACCAAGCAAGCATTACAACCTATGTAATGGGTTATCTATTTATGTGACACCCCCTTCAGCAAAAGATGCAGTACAGTTTGTATGTAATCAAAATATTAATAGCATATATACGTTTTCATATCTTCTGAATCAAAACCATGTCCAGTTCATCATTGGATTCTGACGATGGTAGGATCAGAGTGGGCAAGCCCATTGGTCGTCACAGGACGACACATCATATTGGTGGAGGGAAAAATATACATCACATTCTTGGTGGAGGAAAAGGTATACATCATATTCTTAGTGGATTTATATTTACAAAAATATCAGTATAACATTATATTCTTCGTGGAGGAAAATATATACATTATTTTTTAACCAGTAAAAAAAATGGGATGGCACATTATGAAATAAATAGGGAATATCATTAGCATCATTTGAACATTGGTTACAATGTGAAATGAATTTGCAGTTGCAGATGTGTTGTTGTGGAAGGACAAAAAAGTATCAGCAGCAATTCTGATGGGGATTTCAATAATATGGTTTCTTTTTGAGGTTGTTGAATACAATTTCTTGACCTTGCTCTGCCACCTCATCATCTCCACCATTCTCATCATCTTCATTTGGAATAAGGTTGCAGACAGTTTCCAATGGTAATTATTTATTCATCTTGTTCAACATTATAAAAGCATGAACTTCTCTTTATTATCTACAAGAGTCTAATGATTTACACTCCGTTCATTTCAACTAAAAATATTTTTTAATAATCTAGTATGACAAAAATAAAAGCCGATTAATAAAAAACAAATTTATTTGAATGAAAAATAGCTTTCACTTTCGAAATGTAAAAATTAATTTGGACTAAAAATGTTTTTCATTAACAAATATTTTCCATCGAAACAAACAGAGCACCGATTGTTCATATGAAATACGATATTTTTTATGGTGAGTTTTCAGGAATCCTCCAAGGATCCCTGAATTTTTCTTGGATAAATACACGTTCAGAGAAGTTGCCGACATCTTCCATGCAAAAATGGACCAGTTTGAGTCCAACTTCTTTTATGTTGCCTGTGGAAATGATTTCAGACACTTCATTCTGGTAAATTACTAAATCAACAACTATAATATATATGTATATATATGCTCATCATCATCAAGCTTTAAATCTTTGAACACCACAAAGTTCAACGTTCTTGTCTATCTATATGAATTTTCAGGCAATTGGTTCTCTCTGGATGCTATCAATAATTGGAAACTATATCAGCACCTTGAATCTTCTGTTTTTTGGTAAGCACACGTTCATCTTATTCAAGTTTTGCAATAACAATGCTCCATTTGCTTCGGTACAAAACATTTTTTGAAAATATTTTTCATATTTTCAACGAAAATCAACAGAAAATAAGCTTTTATTTTGGGCAGAAAATGTTTTTCATTTTTAAAATGTGAAAAAACATTTTCTGAACTAAAGTCTTACTAATGTCACCACCACCACCTCCTCTACCATCACCTCCACCACAACCAACCCAGCACACCATCAGCACACCACCACCCCACCTCCACTAATACAATTACAATTACAATCACATTAATTTCAAGGTCACAATCAAACGTTCTACAGAATATATTTTCTGAAAAAAAGATTCTATCAAAACAAACGGAGCCTAACAATTGGCTAATTTGGTGATCCTTGTTGATTGTGCATAAAGGGTGTCTCTGCTTGGAAACACTGCCATATCTGTACGACCTGTATCAGGAGGAAGTTGATTATTATGTTGGCCGAGTGAACCGCAGGATGAGGAAGTCATACAAGAAGTTCGACAAGGAAGTTCTTACGAAAATTCCAAGAGGGCCAGTTAAAGAACACAAAGACAAATAAAAACACAAAGTGCACATATTTTGGTGGAATATTCACATTATTTAAATTTCACTGTAAATAAAGCTGTAAATTTGTTGTACAATATTTGAAATCGAAATGAAAGGTGGTTGTGCTTGTGAAACTAAGAGGATTATATCAATTCTAGCAAATATAAACAATCCAAGAAATTGCATGTTGTGAGCTCAGGAAACAATTTACCCTCCAAATCCAACATCTCAGAATCATGATCACTATCAAGATACGGTTTCATCAAACTTCATAAAAAATTGCGTAGAGGAGAGGCAGTGCACTTTTTCAAGCCATGAATGTGTTTTATAAAAACAAATCAGAAGTTCATAGGCAAGAGCGAATTGGTTCAATCAACTGAAATTATAGGAAAGCACATTGCCATGGAAAAGTAAAAAAAGCAAAAAATCAAAAGCACGGATGGGGATTTAGGTTGAAAGATATAAAGGAGTTGCATTTAGTAAACCTATGAATTGAGAATAGGAGTAGGTTTATTGTGCAGGGGGGAAAAAATAGAGGAAAAAAAAAAAGAATTGTAATACAAAGATCCTAAGCATAGCTTAACAAAGCAAAGCATAATTCCAACAAACAAATTGGACTAATTGGTCTAGATTGCATAATATAGAATTAACCTTCAAGATGGGTTGAGATTTATAAAATAGCTAGGTTTGAACCTTCTATGGGGAAAAAAAAAACATATCAAAAGAAATAAAGTATGCAATTATTAAGTTGTTTTAGATATGGAGCTCACCCACAAACTTTTATTTGGTGAAGCTCAATTGCTCGTTTGAGAACATGCTATTTTAATAACTTTTTTGCTAAAATATAAGGTAAAAAAAATTAGTATGTTTGGAATGACTTACTAGTTTTTTACGAAAAGATGTGCAAAAAGTAGAGAGAAAATGGAGTCTCTGACTTTTTAGTATAAATTATAGATTTTTTTACTTTTTTAATAACTTTTTGACTAAAACAGACACATGCCAAACAACTAGTCTATTAATAAACTGTGTTATGGTGGCTTTAATAGGACTCCACTAGTTGATCATGAATGCAAGCATTATGGGCACTAATATGAGGGTAAGCCTACCCCAGTTGCAGCCTACCCAAGTCAACATTACAAAAATAGTGTGCCAAATTTGTGTGTTTGGTGAAGAATCACGATTAATTTGATGTTTGCAAGTATTGGTTGCCCATTTTCTTAAAGGAAATATTTTTTGTTTTGATAAATATTTTCTTAAAGGAAATATAATTATGGTTAATCTTTTATTAGCTCAAATGGAATGTAATGGTCATGATATGATAGCTTTCCCACACAAGAATGGAGTAAATTATACTAATGATCCTAAAATATAGCACATACTTCATTTTAGTCCCTAATCTTTAATTTATATCAATTACATTGCTGAACTTCACACAATAATTCAATGTGGTCTCTACCTTACCTAGGATCTAAAAAGCATATGAAAATGTTTGTCAGCCTCACATTAGGTATTTGAAGGGCGTTGGGAGAAAACTGTCTCATTTCTAGCCTAAATGAACTGTGAGACACGTGAAATACATATCCAAACCTTTCACTGCAGAACTGAAAGCCAAACACATAGGTGTTTGGTTCTTTGATTGATAGTATTTACATAAATAGACATGTTAAAATGTCCTTAATGCCTTTCAGTACCTGATGTCCTTAATTTACCCCACAAGAATTTAATGGAAAGGAAGAGTGGAATTTGCAGAGCCAACTATCAAAGTTCATAGGCGTTGTGTGACCCACCTTAATGTTCAAACTTGACAATGGTATTGCCTGCCAGTTTTAATGCAAAAGAGAAGACTGACATAAAGGTCTAGAGTTGACAATTGAGAGAGAGAGAGAGAGAGAGGTGTCACTAAAAGTGACAGAACCTTTGGAACAACTACAAGAAGCTTGCACTAGCTAGTGGAGGCTGCACAATTTGTGAAACAAAAACCCCAAGGCAGAGAGAGAGAGAGAGGTCACTAAAAGTGACAAAGAACCTTTGGAACAAGTATAAGAAGCTTGTACTAGCTAGTGGAGGCTGCACAATTTGTGAAACAAAAACCCGAGAGAGAGAGAGAGAGATGGTGAGGGAATGGAAAGAGGTGATTACTGGGGATGGTGGTGGTGGTGGCGGAGCTTGTCTAGTGTTCTGGGTAGTTTTGGTTACCTTTAGCCTCATTTCGGTCCTAATATTCTCGTGTGCTGATGGTGCATCCAGAGACAAAACTTCTGCAGCAGACTCGAGTGTTTACGGAGGTGGATGTGAAGCAGGCTGTGGTGCAGGCTGTGGTGGCTGACTTTATGCTCACCAATGCTTTTAACACAAAGCTAAAAAGTAGAGGCCAATGATGATCCTATCCCACTATTGCTAAAACAGAGAGGAAGGTCTTTCTAATACAGTAACTCCTTACTTCTCCCAGAATATTTGTAGTGATTATATATATTTCAGAAACATTTTTGCTAATTCTGGGTTGTAGAAATGAGATCAAAAGGTCTTTTTGTTGTTGATCAAAAAAGAAATAAGTTCAAAAGGAAAATTAACAGGTTTTTACGAGATGAGATTATGTCGATGTAAGCATTCTGCAATCACTGACATGGTTCTTGTTTTATCGTATTATTGTTTCAACTATATTACCAAATGAATTTTATTTTTTTCCAGAAAATGGCTAAATACTCACACATCAATCCAAGGCAACATATGCTAAAATTCATAATTCAGTACACAGAAAAATCTTGATTGGAGTACCAAACAGATTGTATAATCAAAACTGACTAGTTAATGATTTTGAACTCAAAATTTGCCTCAATAATCAACCTGCAGATAACAATACTATTTGCATAATTCTCCAAGTAATACATATGTCCTTAGGATACCGATCAAGTATGTCTATTTCTTTTTAAAACCTATCATTGACCAGAAGCAGAACTAAACAATTTCTAAGCATCATGACAACAAACGAAATAACTGATAAACAAATATATATAGTTAGACACAAAATGATACTAACAAATTGTTACAGCTAATTTGTCACTTACACAATTTGGATTTACCTGCACGGCCTCGTTTGGAAACAGGTTTTTTTAGTAACTTTTTGACTTTTTGGCTAAAATATGATGTAAAAAAAACTAGTACATTTAGGATAACTTCTTGGTTTTTTACCAAAAAAATGTGCAAAAAGTAGAGAAAATTTTTTTTTTTTACTTTTTGGTATAGGTTGTTGATTTTTTGGTTTTTTTAGTGACTTTTTAACTTTTAAGCTAAAAAGTGATGTTGCCAAATGAGGCCTGACAAATCTGTCAAAGAATTACCCATTTAAAACCAATATCCAATTACAAATTTTCACCTGTTTGTAGCTGCTGAAGAATTGTGGCAATCCACAGAACTATAGATAATTCAGTAATACATATTTTGATTCAACAATGTTTTCTTTTTCCCCCATAAATGCGTTACTCCATTTTTTTTTCCTTTTCAGGATTAGTCCTCCACTTTAATTTTTTCTGCACTATTTTGGGATTTTAGGACTTTTCCTAACCCATGGGGTATGCTTTTGGATGTATTGGATTTAGGCAAATTCTTAATGCACTATTATTGGAAAACATTTTGGGATTAATTGTGCAAAATCAAAAATATTTCCAGCAGATGTAATTAAATCATCAGCACACAAAAATATCATCCATTAAGACAGTAATATATGTGCCAAGATAGCTACAGGTATGAAACACTTTCAGGCCAGAAGCTTAACACAAATTGTTAATAATATTATTATAAACATGATGCAATTCCTAGTAACACAAACAATGAATATATATATACCCCAATCAAGAAGCCAAAGGGTATAACCAGCTATTTTGGAGGAACTTGAACAAAATAAATAGGATACTTATTTTTGAATTTCAGCTAAAGCTATTATGAGGATTAGCCCTGCTTACCATCCTATTCTTGGAAGCACCCAAACTACTAGAATATCTCTCCACTTTGCCATTCTGAGTATCGGAATCAAGGTCCGAAAATGAAGAATATGATGCAAACACCTTCTTTTCCGATCCACAACAACTCCGGTGCATGGCAAACCGCACAGTGCGCCATCCAAACTTGCACGGTAGCTTGACAACACACCATACGATGGCTAGAGGGCAACAAATGCACAATAGGCATGCACTACAGACTAACTCTATTGCTCTGTCACAGCATTTAGATTTTGATCCCTCTGAAGAATAAGAAGAAGAAGAACAGGAAGAACAAGAAGAAGATGTTGAAGGCTTTCCTTCCATATTATGATTCCCACTTGCTTGACTTCTACCAAGAAGAAGAAACTTGCTGTTCAATTCACTTGGTGTGAATTGAACAGTTATGATAAATGTCACTCACACTCCTTTTTATCCTTTCCGGCATCCCAAGCTCAAAAATGCTATAGAAAACATTGAAGGGACTCCAAAATTGTAGAGAATGATAATCATATTTGTGAGCTTTTACGGTCTGATAACTGTGGTTTTCGACATTATTGCTAAGTTATTCTTCAAAGAAAAGATTGTTACTTTACCTTTTGTGAATCTTATCAAGTAGACTTTTGCCCTGTTTACACTTTCTTTATGTTACTTTTTCTTTTTTAACCTTTAACCTCCTCTCGCTTTTCTATCACTTGGTTAGGAAGTTGGAATATGTCAATTTGATGCCTTTCACATGCTTAGATTCATCACAGACCTTTTACCACAGTATTTGATCTTAGTGAACTAACTCGATTTGGTTGTACCCATTAACATCTTGGTTCTGTGTGAAAGAGATAAAAAGAGAGAGAAAGAGAGGTGTTTTGGTAGTGGCATGCTGAGGATGTTTTATTAAACATTATTTAAAAAAAAAACATCTTATTCCCCTTTAAGGTGCCTTTTTAATGAAGAGTTGTGAACTTCCATAAAATGGTCAAAAAAACAAAATCATAATAAAAGAGGGCCCAATATTTTGCCGACCCTTGACTCCCTAAAAATAGAGTGCAAATCCATAATTGAGATATTGAAAACTTTGGCATATGAAGCACCAACACTTCAAAACAAGTGTTGTAGCCGGACACATATGGACATGCCATGTGACATGTGTCCCTTTATTTAAACCTTTGTCATCTCAATATGCTAATTATATAAAATTCTAGTTTTCTTTTTTCTTTTTTCTTTTTGACCAAGATGGAAAAGGAACAATTACAAAAATCCATTGTCAAAGAATATGAATGACATTGGGGATTTTTATTGCATTCCCAGTCCTTAAGCCAAACTCTCTCAAATGATTCAATGCCAATTGACCACCAGGAAATATCGATACAAATTTATAAATTATTATAAATAAAGCTAATTTATAGTAACAAAATCTGAAAATCACTCAAAACTTGCATTATTTTTGTGACTCATTTTCATTATAATTTTCATCACAGCATCCTTTGTATAGAAATCAACAATCACTTACAATTTGTCTTCATCTGAATCAAACTCTGTCACTGTCATCGTCTGGTGGCATATGCCCAAATTCCTCCATCAACTCATCATCTGACTCATCATGTTTCCCAGCTAGTTTCCTCTTCAAAATTGCTTCAAATATAGATGGAATTGCTTCTTCATCACCTTCAAAGTACTTCTCTATTCGTCTTTTCAGCTCTACAACCAAATAAGGTTCTAATTGAATACAACTCATAATGTAAACCACGATTATTCCCTAAGATTTACAAATCTTTCCCTGTATTTGCAAATTAAATTTTAAAAAAGTCAGGCACATAAGCCCCAAAACAAAACACCTAAAAGTTTTTTTCTTTTCCAAATGACCTATAGATGATGACACTAATATTTAGACCACAACAAACAAGAATCAAGCAGATTTAACTCGTTCTTCTCTTCTTCTTCTTCTTCTTCTTTATTCTTCTGAAACATGTTACTAATCGAATTTCCAAATAATTCACATAGAGCTTTCTTGAATAACCAATTCGAAATTTACGTAAAAGCATGATAAACAAGCAATCATTCCTAGCATTTATGGGCTAGAATATATAGCTCCAAACTCAAAAGAGTCAAACAAGTCAAAATTCTTTGAAACAATACTCAGATTGAGTTGCAAATAAATAACACAACCCAAAAACTATCCCATTTGGTTCATGTTTTGTTTTTATTTCTGTTATTCTGTTTTTTTTATTTTTATTTTGGTACACAAATTAAACAAATTCAATTTCTTCTCCTGCACAAAAGATTAAAAATTAAACTGAAAATAACTAAGATCAAAAGACCCCATAAGTAAACAAACTAAATAACCAAGTTCCGCATCATACAAGAGTAAATAAAGAGTAAAACTTTACTTTCTTTTATTTCATTCCTACACATTCTTAGCAACCAAACACAGCGCAGTAAAGTTGACTATACCTTCGTTGCTAACATCCTCTTCTTCAATGGGTGATTCTTCTTTCTGGGTTTGGGCAGGGTTAGTTTCAGGAACAGAGTTTGCAATGAAAGAATGGGTCTTGGAAGAGACAAGTCTTCTGAATTTCAAGAAAGGTGAAGCAGAGAGAGAGGGGAGTGAAACAATTTTAGCATTAAGAGGGTGTGGTTTGAGGGTTTGAGGGGAGAGAAAACTGTGTGTATAGAGAGAGAGTGAGAGGTGTCTGAACAGAGCTTGTCTCATAGCTTTTGCTTTTTAGGGTTTTAGGAAGGTTTGTTGCTTCTTCTGCTTGCTTGTTTCTTCTTTGTTTCCATAGCTTAGCTCTACAGCTTCTTTGCTGGTTGCTGTGCTGGGTTGGTTATGGAATGGACCCATTGGGTATACAATAGTTGAGGTGGATCACAAAATCATAAATGGGCTTGGGCTTTAAAAAGATTGGGCTGGTTGGCCCAGAACCTAATTTTACAAAAAATAATAGAATAAATTACAAATATACTCTTTGAGATTTGCTTAAAATATAAATTATCTCTTATAATTTAAAATTTTTCAAATATTCCACTGTCATAATTTTTTATTTAACATAATTAATTAAAAAAATAAAATTTTTAATTACTCTTGTATACAATAATAAAATTACAAGAATTATTGGTTGAAATAAATTTTTGATATCATTAAAAAATGTTAATTAACATAATAATTTATTAATAAAATGAGCCATTTATTATGAAATTAAAAAATTTAGAGAGGCAAGGTGTAATTTTTAAAACTATAAAGAATAACTAGTATTTTAAACAAATCTCAGATAATATATTTATAATTACCAATAATAATAATAATAATAATAATCTTGATTCATGGAGGAAAAAGAAAAATAAAATGAATGAAATAATTTTTTGATATACAATTTCCTTTATTTTCTTCACTTTACTTATCCGTTGACATATGTAAGATTCAAACATAGTCTTAAAATTTTATAATTTATATTTATTTGTATTTTCAAAATAAGATATATTTTGACATTTAATGCAATATTTACAGTTTATTAATTTTTATTTATATGTTTATTTTTAGTAATTATAAAAAAAATGTATATTTTTTTGACACAAGCATTTTTCAAAAAAAAATAAAAAAATTCAAACGGGTCTATTGTGTTGTCAAATGCACTAGTTGGAGGATGAAGGGTTGTCAACAAGTAGACGAAAAGTTATTGGTTTGGTTTAAGGTAATATTTTTTTATATGTATTGTGATTGGTAAAAAAAATAAATTTATGATTTTATATTAAATAATTAAAAAATTTAAAAGAATATAATAATTTATAATTGAACAAAAATAAAACAATAATGTCTTTAAGCTATGTTTGGGAAATAATTTTGGGCTTAAATAATTATATAGAATAAAATAGATTATTTTAGTCAAATAATATAAAATGTCCTATTTAAATCTTAATTATTTTATTTTTTTTCATAAAAATAAAAAAGACAAAAAATCTTTAATCCTAAACTAAAATATTTTAAAAGTCAAAAAAAAATTAAAAAATCAACACAGATTACAAACGAAATCACTCGATAGTTTTTTTCAAGCTGAGGCCTGTCAAATGTGGTAGTCAAATGATGGAAACTCAAGGAAGAGGTGAGAATTTACGTAAAAGCATGATAAACAAGCAATCATTCCTAGCATTTATGGGCTAGAATATATAGCTCCAAACTCAAAAGAGTCAAACAAGTCAAAATTCTTTGAAACAATACTCAGATTGAGTTGCAAATAAATAACACAACCCAAAAACTATCCCATTTGGTTCATGTTTTGTTTTTATTTCTGTTATTCTGTTTTTTTTATTTTTATTTTGGTACACAAATTAAACAAATTCAATTTCTTCTCCTGCACAAAAGATTAAAAATTAAACTGAAAATAACTAAGATCAAAAGACCCCATAAGTAAACAAACTAAATAACCAAGTTCCGCATCATACAAGAGTAAATAAAGAGTAAAACTTTACTTTCTTTTATTTCATTCCTACACATTCTTAGCAACCAAACACAGCGCAGTAAAGTTGATTATACCTTCGTTGCTAACATCCTCTTCTTCAATGGGTGATTCTTCTTTCTGGGTTTGGGCAGGGTTAGTTTCAGGAACAGAGTTTGCAATGAAAGAATGGGTCTTGGAAGAGACAAGTCTTCTGAATTTCAAGAAAGGTGAAGCAGAGAGAGAGGGGAGTGAAACAATTTTAGCATTAAGAGGGTGTGGTTTGAGGGTTTGAGGGGAGAGAAAACTGTGTGTATAGAGAGAGAGTGAGAGGTGTCTGAACAGAGCTTGTCTCATAGCTTTTGCTTTTTAGGGTTTTAGGAAGGTTTGTTGCTTCTTCTGCTTGCTTGTTTCTTCTTTGTTTCCATAGCTTAGCTCTACATATGTTTGATCCGCAACTGTATGTTTGATTGCAAACGTTGTATTGTTGGTTGACATGACCATAACATGGTTTTGAGATCGCGGTGGAGATTAGTATGGCGACGATGATGGGAGAGAAGAGATTATGGGTATGCATTTGCACAAGCGGTGATTGGAAGAATGTAGTTGATGTAGAGGTGTTGTTTGTTAAGGATTGATTGTTGATGTTAATGAGAATGGTTTTTCAAAAGGAATGAAAGAGATGGGAATGGTTTGCTTGTCAAAGTAATTTATTGTTAAAAAAACAAAGAGTCGTCATGAGCCCAGTTGTTTTTTGACGAGGAAAAGTCAGAGATAGAG